TGGACTCCTGTGATGTTGAATGGTTTGCCTTGGATTCGAACTGAGATCATTCTGTCATTTTGGAGATTGTATCCCAGTACTGCTTTTCCTACGCTTTTATTGACTGTGAAGGCTACTCCATTTCTTCTGAGGGATTCTTGCCCACAGTAGTATACCTGATGGCCATCTGAATTAAATTCACCCATTCCTGTCCATTTTAGTTCACTGATTCCTAAGATGTCGATGTTCAGTCTTGTCATCTCTTGTTTGACCACATCCAGGCTGCCTTGATTCATGGATCTTACATTCCAGGTTCCTATGGAGTATAGATCTTCGCAGCATCAGACTTTCCTTTCACCACCAGATACATCAGCAACTGAGTGTCCTTTCGGCTTTGACCCAGTCACTTCATTCTTTCTGGCGCTACTAGTACTAGCCCTCTGCTCTTCCCCAGTAGCATATTGGACACCTTCCGACCTGAGGGGCTCATCTTCCGGCGTCATATCTTTTTGCCTTTTGGTCCTGTCCATGGGGTTTTCATGGCAAAGATATTGGAGTGGGTTGCCATTTCCTTCTCCAGTGGATCACGTTTTGTCAGAGCTCTCTGCTATGACCTGTCCATCTTGGGTGGCCCACTGTGGCTTGTGGGAAATGAAAAGCAAGGTGCTCGTTAAGGACAGCAAAAACCCACTGTCCTTTTTGCCCAATTTTGCCCAATTTTCCTGGGCCATCATCAGTGACAGCTAATCCATGACTGCCCAAAAGGCAGTTTGAAGCCAGAATCACCAGCTTATCATCATGAGCAACAGATACCAACTTCAGATATCACCCAGAGAAGTCAGTCTCCCAGTATCCCTCCCTCCCTCCCTCTCTCTCTCTCACACACACACACACACACTGCTTTGGCATAACAACAGTCAGAGGACAAACCGCCAAGTCAAAGCAAAGCCACAAGCACGATTTCCTCATGAAATCAGGGTGGACAACATTTTCCCATTTACATCAAGATACTCTGGATTTTGAATGTTCCTACTATAAGTTGTGTGCCCTCAACTGTTCCACCCATTCCTAAGACTCCAGGGGCTTGGAAAGGTGGAAAAATGTAAGCCCTTTTTTTGCTAAAACTTGTTTTCAGTGGCTGTCAAAATAGGCTTTTCTTCAAAATTAGGGATTTTGGTAGGGCTGGGCAGGGCAGTGTGGACAGGCCAGTATCCATATGAAAACTGTAGAATGGGTGGGGTGTGGGAAGAGAATGGTAGGAATGAATGGAGCTTCCTGGAAGACAGCATGGCTGGCTGGGACACTGAACACATGGTCCAGATCCCATTCTTTCCACCCTGTTCCTCAGCCTTAGGAGAAACACCCTGGACCCAGGCTAGTGCTTCTCCTTTGCATGCATAAAGTCCATGTTTGACTCCCAGTCCCCCCAGGCAGAGCCAGAAAAACCCTGGAGAGCTGCTGCCAGGCAATATTGGCAGTACTGGGCTAGATGGACCAGGGATCTGACCCAGTCGAAGGCAGCCAGCTTTCCGGGCTCCTGTGCCCAATCAGAAGACCCTGGGCTGGGTGGGCAGCTTGCTGAGGTCCTTTCTCTTCCTGCAGCTAATGAAAGTGGTGAATGAAGAATGTCCTACCATCACCCGCATCTACAACATCGGCAAGAGCTCCAAAGGACTTAAGATCTATGCCATGGAGATCACTGATAATCCAGGAGAGCATGAACTGGGTGAGAGCCTCATTTCTCACTAGGCCAGGCCCAACACATAGTCTCAAAGTGGCCACCAACGTACTTCCATGTTGCTTCTTAATTTAGTGAATTTTATAAGTCATTCATCAACAATGTATCTTCAAAGGGCTTATGGTGAAAGACAAGTGTTGCTGCAGCTGCAACAATAATGATAAAAGCTATAGCAGTGACAGATTAAAAACAAAGCTGGCACAAAAGCAACATTTTGTTGTACAAGTTGCCTGAAAAAAGTTGTTTCTGACTGTTTTTTGAGAAGTCTCCTGGCTGTGTTGCTCCAAACTTAATAGCCGATTCCAGAGCTTGGAGCCCACCACTGGAATAGGCTTTCCAGCAGTGGCTACAGCCAAGAGGCCCTGGAGAAAGGATGGGAAGGAACAGAAGGAAGATGCTGTTTTTCCAAGCAACCTAGGCCTGGACCATCAAAAGGGGTAAGAGCCTGCACCAATGTTTTAAATTAAGCTCAGAAACAAATTGACAGTCAGTGCTGCATTTAGAAAACAGGAATGTGTTCTCCATGGCTTGTTGTTGTTGTTAGTTGCGAAGTCGTGTCCAACCCATTGCGACCCCATGGACAACATTCCTCCAGGCCTTCCTGTCCTCCACCTTCCCCGGGAGCCCACTTAAACTCACACCAACTGCTTCAGTGACTCCATCCAGCCACCTCATCCTCTGCCGTCCCCTTCTTCTTTGCCATCTATTGTTCCCAGCATCAGGCTCTTCTCCAGGGAGTCCTTCCTTCTCATTAGGTGGCCAGAGTATTTGAGTTTCATCTTCAGTGTCTGGCCTTCTAAAGAGCAGTCAGGGTTGATCTCCTCTAGGACTGACCAGTTTGATCGCCTTGCGGTCCAAGGGACTCGCAGGAGTCTCCTCCAGCACCACAATTATCCTGGCTGCCACACTCTGTGGCACCAGTGGAAATCTTCTGGGTTTCCTGATGTTTCAGCCTACAACTCCCCAACACCATGAGCTAAGCTGGTGCGGAGTGATAGAAGCTGTGGGACAAAATATCAAGAGGGCTCGAAGTTGCCTGTACTAAAACAACTGAAGCTTCAAAAGTGCTTTCTAAAGCAGCCCCACAGCAAGTGTATGACAGTCGTCAAGTCAAGAATGGCATGCATTACAGCGTTCAGACCCTTTATTTAAATAACTGAGCACCAGCTGACCCTGCAAGAGGAGGAGGAGGAGGTGAGATATTTGTTGGCAGTTTTCAAAAGTCAGGGAGCCAGGCCAGAGGGGAGCGGGGCTTCAGACCCTGAAGCACCATGGCTGGAGTAACAGAACTCCTTAGCATGATCCAGGATGTCTTGAGAGTGGGAATAACCTGGGGGCTTGCCTGGCTTGTTCATTAACAAGTAGGAGACCAGGGAGAATTCACTTTGCAGACTAGCTAAATGGAACTAAGCCCAGGTATGGAAAAAGAGAATTTTCCCTCTGCACCTCAAGCTTCAGGGCAGGAGGTGAAGGAAAGTGTCAGGGGTCTCTGCGCCTCTCAAACTCACACATGCTGCAATAATTTGGTCGACATTTTTATAAATACAGCAGGAAGACAAAGCCCAGCTCAGAAGAACTTGGCACCTTGATCTTAAATGGCTGCATTTCTCTGCCTGCCTTCCTGCCATGCTGGCCAATACAGCCCTGAGGCTTTGAGATGGGTCAGGACCAATTTTTAAGTCAACAAAATCTTTGCCAGTCCAATGCAAAGTCATGAGGTGTTTTTTTGGGGTTTTTTTGGTTAGACTGAGTTGGCACAATTGCTTGCATGCCCCCCTCCTGAGCTGTTAACTTGCTGGCTCAGCAAATCTTAGGACTGAACTATGTAAGCTTATAATGTTTGCCCAGTTCTTTCATGAACAAAAACTTGCCATCTCTTCCAAAACAAGAACACATTACTTTGACAAGATCTGTTCTCCATCCAAAAGTTTATTAACTGCCCTCGGGTTGTTTGCTTTGCTTCCACCTGTGTCAATATTTCTGTGATGGTATCTGGGGCTGATGTTGCAGTTAGAAAAACCCTCATACTTACCAATATCCATTCCATTAACCTTTTATAAATATTGGTGCACAATAATAGCTTCCCCAGCCCATAACTTCTTTGGAACTAATTTGTTATTTTAGGATCTCTGGCAAGTTAACATCTTCCCAGCTTGCCTGGTCTCTTCATGCTTTGCTCATGCATTGCAAAAGAGCAGTCCTGAAAAGGATGAAAAATGCCCAGGATTTCTGGATATTATTCCATGCTTTGACCGATGCTATTAAAAACATGGAATATTCCAGCCCTGTCAGACCGATTGAAGCAGATGCCAAATTCCTATTGTTTGCAAACTTTTCTCAAGGCCCAGAAGTATTTGAATTTCTTGGAAAAGGCATCTCAATTGGGCTGTTTCTGATGAATGAAATCTTGAGCTAATTAATAGCACCGGTTCAGTTAACTCGTTTTAAGCAGTTGATTGAATTTGCTCAAAAGTGCAGATGATAGAACACAATTGTTCTATAGGGGAAAAAAGGACAGGATCTGTGTATTTCTTTCAGCAGTGCAACAGCTAGGTATTTTCTAGGATATCTGTTGATCTGTGTTGTTCTGTGAACCAGCCCAATTCACAATTCTCAAATTAATATCTGGGTCAGGATATCATTACTGATCAAGTATTTTGATACAGTTCTTGGCTCAAGGTATGTACCAAAATGCACATTAAACTGCTTGTCTTAGGTTAAAATTGTGTACAAAAGCATGTCCTACTGTCTCCAAAAATACAGGAAAAACAATGCACATTTTTGTGCATGTAAAAAATGCCACCACTGCAGATGGGTTCAGACAGATGAATGTGTGTGAGACTGACACAGACTGGAATTAAACTGGCTTGTCCATCCCTAGCAGCAACATATGAGAAAAGGCATCCCATATTCATCCTCAAACAAGAGGAAATGCCTTTTTGAATATGGTACTTGCCATGTGCTGTTTTATGATCACTGTCTTACAAATTTAAGACCACTATTTGGCAACATATTCATCAAGGAGAACTTTGGACTGTCAAATGAGTTTGAGCAGCATTAAAACTGTGTTCTGCACAGCATTTAATTAATATAGTTAATACTGCTTTCCTCTCACTATTTTATTTCTTTTCTTACATGATAGCTGTGCTGAACAGAAAGCAATCACTTCCAGAGGAGATAGCTTCTAATTAAAGGGGCAGTAGCTTTGAAAAGCCTTTAGTATCCTTTGCCTATTCCCCTGGAAAGTGCCTACCATTGAAATCAAAAGGGTTATTACATTTGAGGTTTGGATAATCAGCCAATGCAGTAGGAATTCAAAAGGATGGCAATAATATTTTTTGGATTCTCTGTCCTTGCTGCTTCTTTTATGTATATAATTTTTTTCTGCTGATCCTGTTCATAAGCACTCCTGCCTTTATATTTTTAGATGTGTTTGCATTTTACACCACAATTTTATTATTTGTAATGTATTGTTATGTCACTTTGGGGTTGAATCCCAATATAATTGTGCTTAGAGTAGACTAATGTAATCGTTAGGTCTGTGCTGGGAGCCACCTTGGAAGATGTGGGCTGTTAAAACAGAATAGGAAGTGAGCGAAAGATGCAGCCCAAACTAAACAGCTAAATGGAAGCAATGCATCTTCCTTTTCCAAAGGAGCAACATGGAAACCTACATCTTTTCTTGACCTGCTACAGGAGAGCCAGAGTTCCGCTATACTGCAGGCATCCATGGCAATGAGGTGCTGGGACGTGAGCTGTTGCTAATGCTGATGCAGTTTATGTGCAAGGAATATAAGGACGGGAACCCACGCGTGCGAAACCTGGTGACCGAGACCCGCATTCACCTTGTCCCTTCTCTCAACCCTGATGGCTATGAGGTTGCCAGTCAGATGGTAAGGCTAGATGCAGCCCTCCTTTACAGATGGTTGAGGTACTCTAAAGAGAAGAGAGGGGAGTAGCTACTGTTGGTCCCTTTAAAATAGGGGTGCACAACTTGTGGCTCTCCAGGCGTTTTGGAGATTCCCAACTCCCATCAGGTGTAGCCCATATAACCAATGGTGAAAGACGATAGGAGGCATACGTAGCCCTCTAGCTGTTTTGTTCTACAAGTCGCCCACCCGCTTTAAAAGCAGGACTGGCCCAGGTCATTTTGCTGCCTGAGATGAAGGACAGGAAGGCTTCTTGCTCCCATCCCATGTGCAAAAGTTACTGGAGTGATACAGCTTCTCAGTCCAGCGTGGTTAATGGAGCAGCATCCTCTCACTTTCTTTTAATGGTGGGGCTGTCCCTGCCTTAAGAAATGGATCCTGTTGTTGCTCTTTCTTTATCCAATAGAATCTAGGTCCGAAAGAAAAAAAAAACACCCAGCAGCTAAACCAGAAGGTTATGGTTGTTCTGAATTGTTCTGACCAGACATAGCAGCAGTTCCCACCCTTTCCCTACAGGAAAGTCTGCAGGGAGCTTGTGGGTTTGACCACTGCAAGTTAAGGCTTGCTGGACAATTCAGCAACAAAGCAACCGGACAACCCCAAGCCCTCCTCCCCAACTTTGGACCTGGAGAAGGGACAGGTATTGCCACCCAGCTGCCAGAAGCATCCCCCCACACTTTTGCAGCTTCGTGGCTAGGAGGGATGCTGGCTGTGGTCAAACCTACCTGAAGGCGATGGCACAAACATGGAAATCTGCAACTTAGGCAAGCTCAGAATTGCAGGTTGCGTTCCTGTAACTGTAGTTCCTTGAGTGGTCACCTGTGCATTCACACACACGGGTGCTGCATGATATGCATTGATTGGCAGGATACTTCCAATATGTCAATTCGACGTGTGAGTGATTATATGCCTATCCGACACCTCCCACCTCCTTAGAGGGTTGCTTGCTAGTCACCCATGTGTGTGATGAGCAGTGACCAGGATGAAGCGATGCAGGTCGTACACCTGTAACTGTAGTTCTTCGATTGGTCATCTGCGCATTCACACACACACCCACTGGCCCCACGTCGGTGTTGGTGGTTAAATGCATGAACTGTGCATTTCCTCTTTTAGGTTTATTGCAGTATTATATGTATAAAGCAAATACACGAATAAGTATACTAAATGTAAATGCTGGCCAACACTACGCTAGAGAAATCTTCTAGGCTACGCTAGAGAAATCTTCCAAAGGGAGGCACTGCACAAGCACAGCACCCCTATGTGTGATGCACAGAGACCACGATGAAGAAAAACAATTTATTGGTTATATATTTATTTATTTGGAGCGCTTGTATGCCGCCCCATTCGCATAAGCCTCGGGGCGGCTTCCGACAAATAAATAACAATATACAAAATATACAGAATTGGAAACATCCCAGAGTTAGATAAAAGCGATAAATAATTTAACAGTTAAAATAACATTTAAATAAAAAGGTCTTGGCCTGGCGCTGAAAAGCAAATAATGACGGCGCCAAGCGGACCTCTCTGGGGAGCGCATTCCACAGATGGGGTGCCACCACAGAGAAGGCCCTCCTCCGGGTACTCACCCACCTAATTTCCTTCACGGAGGGTTTCCGAAGAAGGGCCTCTGCTGCCGATCTTAGAGGGCGGGAGGGCAAGTGTGGACGGAGGCGCTCCTTCAGGTACCCAGGTCCCAAGCCGTTTAGGGCTTTATAGGTAAGCACCAGCACCTTGAATTGGGCCCAGACTTCAATGGAGAGCCAGTGAAGCTGACAAAGGACTGGGGTTATATGAGAACAACGCCCAGTCCCCGTCAGCAACCTGGTAGCTGTTTTGCACCAACTGAAGTATCTGGACGATCTTCAGGGGCAGTCCCACGTAGAGCTCATTGCAGAAGTCTAATCGGGAAGTTACCAGTGTGTGTGTCACTGTCGCCAGGCAATCGTCCTCCAGGTAGGGACGCAGCTGATGGATCAGCCGAAGCTGATGGAAAGCGCTCCTCGCTGTGGCCGACACTTGAGCTTCCAAGGTCAGCTTTGGGTCGAGGAGCACCCCCAAGCTGCAGACCCTGTCCTTCAGAGGGAGTGCTACCCCATTCAGGACAAGGTCCAGGTCCCCCACCCCAGAGTCTGAACCACCCACCAACAGGACCTCTGTCTTGTCTGGATTGAGCTTCAGTTTATTGGCCCTCATCCAGCCCATTACCTCGGCCAGGCACCGGTTCAGCACAGCCACTGCCTCACCTGGATTGGTGGAAAATGAGAGGTAGAGCTGGGTATCATCAGCGTACTGATGATTCCGCAGCCCACACCTCCTGATGACCTCTCCCAGAGGTTTCATGTAGCTGTTAAATAGCAAGGGGGACAAAATAGAGCCCTGCGGAACTCCATGGCATAGCTGCCACGGCGCAGAGCCACAGTCCCCCAGCACCACCTTCTGAAATTGGCCATTGAGATAGGAACGGAACCACTGCAAAGCAGTGCCCCCAACCCTCAATCCCACTAGCCTATCCAGAAGGATACCATGGTCAATGGTATTGAAAGCCACTGAGAGGTCTAGGAGAACCAACAGGGACGCACTCCCCGTCTCTCTCCCTGCACAGGTCATCATACAGGGTGACCAAGGCAGATTCAGTACCATAACCAAGTCTGAAGCTGGACCGAAATGGGTCCAGATAATCGGTTTCATCCAAGAGTGAATAAATATTGTGTATTGAATCACCTGTATCAGTAATAGTTTGGGACTTGTTCTTTCCTTTGCAGGGCTCTGAGCTAGGAAACTGGGCCCTGGGACACTGGAACGAGGAAGGGTATGATATCTTTGAGAACTTTCCCGATCTCAACAGCATCCTCTGGACGGCAGAAGAGAGAAAATTGGTACCACACAAAGTCCCCAACCACCATATTCCCATTCCTGAGCATTACCTTGCAGAGGATGCTGCAGTAAGTATTTTTTGAGCATGTCCTAGTGCTGGGATTCTGCAAAGACTACAGTGAGACACTTTTGAGGCCACTCCTCCTCCGGGGTGGATTAATGTCAGTTTATTGAATTAGTTGTCAAGTCATAGCCATATGCACACTTGGGTACGGATGTCCATATGCCATTTTAAAATGGACTCAAAATTAGACCCATCGAATCATTAAACAGGGTGGTCCACTTGTGGTATTCCAATAGCTTGGGCCTACAACGCTTATCATTCCCCACCATGAACTATGCTGTCTAGGACTGAAGGGTATTGTAGACCAAAATATTTGGAGGGCCAAAAGTTGCCAAGCCCCATCATAAGGTGTCCAAAGGTCATATTTAAACCCTTTGCCAGCTCTTTCAGAACAACTGTGGTATAGCAGCTTGAGAATACGCACCTAGGACTCACCAGATGTAGGTTCTAGTCTCCTCCCCTAGCCAGTGCCTGCCTCTCAGCTTAACCTACCTCACAGGGCTGTTGTGAGGATAAAAAGGGAAGGAGGAGAACTTTGTAAGCTGCCTTGCGTTCCTTGCAAGAGAAAAAAAGGCAGGGTATACATGCTGCGATGATGATGATGATGATGATGATGATGATGATGAGGATGATGATGATGATGATGATGGTGCAGTCCTATTGTGAAAAGCGTAAGCTCCCAAACTCAGAGACAGGGCAGGAGAAGTAGAGGTGATCTCTGAGCGATGCACCACTGCCCCCACCCCCAATTGCCACCCTGTGTGATTCGCTCCAGCACCACTGACTTTCTTCTGCCTCCCCACCCACCCTTTTCCCCAGGTAGCAGTGGAGGTCAGAGCCATCCTAGCCTGGATGGAAAAGATCCCATTTGTTCTGGGTGCCAACTTCCAAGGTGGGGAGAAACTCATCTCCTACCCCTTTGACATGGCACGCCCTGTCAACGAGAACGAGGTGGCACCACGGAACCCAGAGGACTACGAAGAGGAGAACCCAGAAATCCAAGAGACTCCAGACCACGCCATCTTCCGCTGGCTGGCCATTTCCTATGCCTCAGCCCACCTGACCATGACTGACACCTTCCGGGGTGGCTGCCACTACCAAGACATGACCAGTGGGATGGGGATCGTCAGTGGTGCCAAGTGGCGCCCCCGTGTTGGCAGTAAGTGTTGGGAAGGGTGTGGAAGGCCAGCATAGCTGCTTGATCTGTTATGGGAGCCACCTGGGATCGATGTGTTGCTATTGTTAGAATTTAGCTTTGTTTCTGGAAGCCCTGTTTATTTCGCTTCCCGTTCATTTGAAAACCTGAGTATCTGGGGGCTGGTGGGCACACCTGGAATCCTGAGAGAACGGCATGGGCACCTGTGCCAAATGGCTGTTACGAGGACTCAGCTATTCACAGAACAAACCATCCTGTGAATGGGCAATCCGTTTTGTGAGGGTTACTCTTGGTTGCTTCACTTCTTCCTAATCCACATCTTTTTCTTGGAGCAATATCCAGCCTCCCTTGAACCTGAAGCCCTTCAGATGTTTTAGACTACAACTCCCACAGACACCTCATCAGCTTGGCCAAGAATGCTGGGAGCTGTAGTTCAAAATATCTGGAAGTCACAAGTTGGGAAAGCTTGATAGTATGTTTTCCCATCTCTCAAGTCTAGCATATGTCGAAGTGTTAATCCTTGTTGATCTCCCATGGAATTTATGCTTTCAGAGGCTTAACATCTGCCTCAGTGCAAGGCATGATACTCGCCTTCCTGAACAACTCACTGTTGGCAAGTTGCTTTTGAGCAATGGCGATCCTGTGGATGAGTGCCCGGCCTTGACAGCCCTGCTCAGCTCTTGTAAATTTAGCGCAGCCGCTACCTTTATGGAATCAGTTCCTCTTCTATTTGATACTTCTGGTCTTTTTAAAGCCGCCTGAAGGCCAAAACAATCAGTAATCTGAAACTGTGTCTAGCAGCTATGTCTTTTTGTTTGTTTTTGGTCTAGAGTAAGCACAGGGACCCAATCCAGACACACTAGGATCCTGATCCAGATGAAGTTCCCTGCATCTGCTCTAGAATAAAATAAAAACAGGGCATACCTGATAGCCACAGATTAAAGGAAATGTCTGTTTCAGCCCTGAGCTTGTGGCAGCGAATTCTCTAAGTTAATTAAGCATTGTGTGTGAGTGGAAGCTGATGCCCTCTTTCCACTTTTTTAGCCATGAATGATTTCAGCTACCTCCACACCAACTGTCTGGAGCTTTCCATCTACCCAGGGTGCGACAAGTTTCCCCATGAAAGTGAATTGCCGCAGGAGTGGGAGAACAACAAAGAATCATTGCTCACATTCATGGAGCAAGTAAGGAGCTGTTCCTGGGCACACTGGCCTTGTTTGGGGTTGGGGAGGGATCCTTGAGCACGGTGCACGTGGGGAAGAGACAGACAATGCAGCCTTTCAGGGCTGGCATTGTGAACAGGCACTTGCCAGTCGAGCAACGCCCTCCCGGGGCTCAACGCACTTGCCGCTCCTCTTCCCCATGGAAGAGGCTCATTCACTGGCCTCTTGCTCTGGCCCAGAGCAAAGGTGCTACGGAGAAGCTACTGGGTGCTTGTTCCTGGGCTCCCTGCCTGTCCAGCAAGGGCATGATGGCCCTGATGAGAAACGGGGAGGGGGCCCGAGCAGCCCCTCCTGATGATGGTGCTGAGGTTGACTCATGGAGAGAGGAGGCCTAGAGAGGACGTCCTCCTTGCAAGCCCAGAGCAGGCCCTGCTGATTTTAAAAGCATGGGCAGGCAGGGAGAGGAACTAGATCAGAAAAACCTCCAAGTCTATCGCAGGCAACAAGTTAGGGATGCCGTGGACACTTGGTACTAGAAGGAGCAGAATCACACCAGCTGGCCTCAAGCCTAAGGTCTGCATGTTGAGCAGGAAGGACTGCATGGCTGGGATGGGGGGCTCCAGGTGAACAGACTGCTCACGCGAGTGAACTGGCTTCTCTCTTCAAATGTCCACGCTCAAAAAACACAGTCGGGACAGGACAAGCCAGCCTGTGTGTGGTATAGCAGTGAACATGTAAGCCAGGGACTTGGGGGATGTGGATTGTAGTCCCCACACAGCCATGGAACTCACGGGGTGACTTTGGACCAGTCACTGACTTCCACTGACTAGAGGGAGACCCTTGTAAGTTGCCTTGGGTTCCTTGCAGGAAGGGGAAATGCAGGGTAGAGGTTTAGAAATGCATCAAAAGATAGGCTTGGCAGGAGAGCAGGATGCAGCAAGGATGACTCAGGACTTTGGGGCAGGGACAGACAGCTCTCTCTGCTCCCTTCACATGTGAGAATCCTCTCCCAAGCACAGATGAAACAGGTCTCAGTGGCTAAACCAACCTCCCTGGCCCATGAACTCAGAGGAAGCTCTGTTGCTTGTACAGGAGGAGTTTGAGACAGTCCCACCTGGGACAAGTTATTTCGAGGGGAGGGTTGGGGCTCCCCAGCTGCATCCTGGAGCTGAAATGGCTCTAGGATGTAGGATGCTTACAAGTGGGTTTGATTTCTGTGATCCTTAAATGGTTTGCTCTTTTGTAGATGGTGATGTTTAAAGTTATGTTAGCTTGAACAATAGAAAGGGCAGTTTGCAAATGAGTTAAACTAAATTTTGCTGCTGGAACTTGTTTCTTTGCAGATCCATCGGGGCATTAAGGGTGTGGTGACAGACACACAGGGAGACCCCATTGCAAATGCCACCATTTCTGTTGTGGGGCTCAAGCGTGATGTGCAAACAGGTACGTCTGAAATGCTGATGACAAGAGTGTGCATTCATTTTGTAAATTCATTTCTAAAAATAAACCTTTGTTTTTAAGTGGTCCACAGTCCTCCCAGCAAAGATACAAGTGTTAGCATCTTCGTAATGGGATATTTAGGAGAGAAGCAAAGCTGAGCATCTTTCATGTAAACAGTAGGTCAGAGGAAGAAGTGAAAACTTTTGGGAAATTCAGCCTTCCTTCTTCCTGCAAAAGTGAGAGGGAAAACAGAAGGGATTGTGGGTGTGTTGCTCGCCGTCTTTGCTAATGGTAAGAATTCTTGTCCTCAGCACAGGTGGTGCCCTGGCCCTGTCTTGTAGAGCATCTGCTGTACCTTGTACCAAACCTCAGCGACAAGACTTGCTCTAGCTAACTCAGTTGCTGGCTGCAGCTCACCTACCTTTTGAAAAGCACAGTCATCCTCCCTGTATATTGCGGAACAAAGTCACAAGTACAAGGAGTATTTGTGCTCCTTTCTGGAGGATCTGTGCAGGACTGAGATCTGTGGAGCAAGCCTGATGAGGCAACCTTTAAGTGCCCTTTGAACTAGCCGTACCTGCATCTTCTGCCTACAGGAGCATATAGAGGAGCACAAACAGCTCAAGTCAGTGCAAATGATTAGTCTGTATAACTGAGTAGTTTATTCCAACTTCCCCTGACCTAGTATCCTCCAGAAATGCTGGGCTGCAGCTCCCAGAATTCCACACCCCTGGAGGGCACCAGGTTAGGCCAAGCTGATCTATTCTGAATGAAAAGAGGCCAGGCCTCTGTACATAGCAAGTGAAGGGAAAGCCCTTCCTAACTGGAGACGCTTTACATGCAGAAATTGCCCAGCATATAATCGACTGTTGAGCTGGAATCCCGCCCTTCCACCAAGCAGCCTTTGTCCACTCTTGGCTTCTCTTGTCTGTTTCAGCCAGCGGTGGAGATTATTGGCGCATCCTGAACCCAGGCGAATACCGGGTCACAGCCAGGGCTGAGGGGTATAACCCCAGCGTCAAAACATGCAACGTCTTCTACGACATCGGAGCCACCCAGTGCAACTTCATCTTGTCGCGGTCCAACTGGAAACGCATCCGAGAGATCATGGCCATGAATGGGCACCGGCCCATTGGCATGCCCTTAGCTGGTCGGCCCATGACCCCCAGGGAGCGGATGCGCTGGAGGCTGCGGATGCGCCACAGAGCTCGCCTGCGACAACAGATGCGCAACCGGCTACGGAAAGCCACGAGCCCCGCTCCCACAACTGCCCCCACCACAGAGTTCCCCTTTTCCTTCAGCAGCACCACTCTCCTGCCGTGGAGCCAAGAGCCCCCCACAGCTGGAACAGATGCCACCTGGGAAACCGAGGCCTACACGGAGACAGTAACTGAGTGGGAAATGACGACTGAGGAGACTGCCATGGAGGACAAGACTGGGGAGGAGACCACAGGCACGCCGTTTCCCATGACCACCGCAGAGGTTTACACGGTCAACTTCGGCGATTAGCCTCTGCTGACCAGTTTGCTGTGACTCTGGGCCAGGAACACTTAAGACGCTCCCAAAAGCTTGTCTTGCCTGTCCTGAAGCAGGTGCTGATATCCATTTGTCATAGTACAGTAGGAACCATCACCTGCTTTTGGAATGCACCAAGAAATCTGTTGCTTTGAGCAGGCTCCCACAGCTACAGCATGTACACAGTTGCTTTCTCCCCCCACCCCACCCCACCCCCTGCCTCCACATCTCGGCTGTAACAACTCAGCTTTCTTGCTCCAATCTTGCAAGCCACCTGAAGCCTATGAAATGGGAGGGTGTGGGAAGCAAGGCTGCCTGAGAGCATCAACTTGATTTGGAAACAGAAAGCAGGCTGAAATCACAATCCCCTACCATGGCTAAGTCCATATTGCATTGTTCTCCACGGATCTTACAGGACTCCTGAGTGGATGGCTTAGGGCTGGAGCACGGGGCTGCACACCTGGACAATATCCAGGGATCAAGAACTCCGTGCCTCCCTCCTGAGGGCATCAGGATAACCAAACATGTTATGCAGCAGCACAGTCATACCCTTGGGCCACAGGCTAGTACAATTATAGAAATATGTCCCTTGAAAATTGATCGAATGTAAATGCCTACATGTGCTGGATTTTTACTTATTGAAGTGGAGCATGCAGAAGATTTTATTCCGGTTAAGTGCTTGACAGAATTCTTAGAATATTTGGATCTCAGATGGCAATAGATACCCTTGGGGCAGGGGGAATTTAGGAAAGGACCCAGCTCTCTACTACATCAATTTTCATCACGCTTGTCTACTGAAAGTGCCAGCAAAGCTTATGTTTCTAAAAACCTTATCATAGAGCAGCCTCTTTTCAGTGTTTTATTTCCACACTATTGTGGACTAGAAGCTTGATATGTGATTCTGAGTATCACTTGGAAACCTAAGAGCTACCAGATCCTTCATTCAAAAGTACATTCTCTCTCTCATACCATTATTCCAGATTCTAACCCAGAGTGCTGAAGTTCTGCCATAACTGAAGCTGCCACCTCTAGTAGCCAAGAGAGGAGGGATTTTCCAGCTTCGGTACTTCAAGGCAATGCTCAGGCCACAGCTGCCCAGGAGGCAGGTCAAGTGCAACCTTGAGCCCTTCTAACAGTTACTGTTATTTGAATAAAGTGAGTTATAAATATATATATATATAAACAAAATATATTACTTTGTTTTTAAATTTATTTTTGATCATACACAGCTGTAACTGTGACAAGGAGAAAGCACCAAGAGGAAAGATGGAGTAGATGTTTATTGAAGATGCAGAGTTTATTTTAGTCCTTTGTCTGAGCCAAAGGGGAGTTGGAGATAGTGCCAAGCTCCCCATCTCCTTTACCTGCACAGCTTCTGAGCAGAAGGCAAGGCACCCCATGCCTCTCAGTGGCCAGTCTCCATTCCTGTCTCTTCTTGCTCCTCTTCCTCCTCATCATTTGCACCGAAGGCAGAGAAACTGACTGGCTGGCAGCTCAGATCACGCAGATTGATCAAGCAAGCCATCTGTGTTGTGCTGAAATCAGGAAGGGTCAACAACAAAACCTTCTGACCATCATCACCTGCAAGGCAAGGAGGGTGTGTGGAGACAGCAAGAAGTATCAGAAGGTCTTGCATGGTTCATGGAGCAGAGCCACAGCTGCATGGTAGAGTCTATGTTTTCATGTGGAAGATTGCAGGTCAGTCCTAGGCAATTCCCATTTTAAAGAAAGCAATCAAGCGGCAGGTGATGGGGACAGCTTTTGCCTAAAACCCTGCCCCACTGCGGTAAACAGTGCTGGGTTTGATGAGCAGATCCTCTGACCTGGTATAAGGAAACTGGAAGTTTCAGCCTAGCCCAACATAATGATTAAGTCTAAGCCATGCAAAATGGGTAAACATTCGTTACGGCTAGAGCTCTCTGCAAGAAACAAGCAGAGCTGTGAAATTAAAAAAGGGGCACAAATAGCAAGCTCCCTGTTGAAAAACCCGATGGACAAGTGGCCAAGAGCACCAGTAGATAAGAATATGCACACAACTGTCCAAATCCAAGAACGAGAACTGCTCGGGTTCAAGCAGCTCTTCAGCAATGCAGGGGGATATGCGCCTGGGTTCACATCCTCACACAACGCTGCCCAGTTGAACATACGTGATGCATCCACCTCCGTTACCAAATGTGAAACTGCCCAGAGCTATAGCAGACAATATACAGAGGGGATATGAACAAAACTCTTTTTGTCCAGGCAGCTTTTCAAAAGGGCTCAGTCAGCAGCACAGAAGCACTTTGACTATGCCTGAAACCGGCCAGATTAACCTATGCACAACCCTAAGCAAATCTGGAAAGCAAAACGGTCTACATGCTTATTGTGCTGTGGAGCAAATTCCTGGTTTAAACTTGCATTCCAGGCTAATACTGAACTCTTGGCACACATTGCTTTGGTCATAGTTACACAGGGGCTTCTGTTTACCATCAAGTCTGATAAATGCCATACAAACAAAGCTGCAAAACACATTATGTATTGCTCTGTGAAAACAAAGATTAACCCTGAAGGTTACTCAGAAGTTCCCATGATTTAGCAAGTGTCTGTTACTGTTCCACTGTCACCCCATAAAATGCAACAGACTTAACTAATGCTAAACCCCATAAATAGCCATCTGGATCCTTCTTTCTGTGACTGATTGTGCTCAGTAGGGAAACTCCAGGTAGAATTCTTTGCAAAAAGAGAGAGATTTTGTTTTGTTTTTTGCAAAGACCTGCCTTCTCCAATCAACCAAAGGCAAAGGCTGTCCTGGCCTGGAGTTTTATATATCCATTCATGCTCACTATGTTGTGGAGCAAGGCTATGGAGCAGATCAGAAAGAGACAGGTGAAGTACATCCTCTGCCAATCCCGTCCCTGCCCTCTGTTATGGGACTCCGACAACGCACCGAAGGTAAGTTCAGTCTACAACTTAAGAGGAAACCCAGCATCTCCCAAGGCAGGGCCAAATGAAGCCAAAGCGCACTGTCTCCCATAGGATTTAGCCATTTACCCTTACCTTTAGCGACCTTGGATTTGAAGGAGGGCGCATTCCCACAGAAATAGATGTGAGGGCAATCAGTAAAGATGAAGGGGTCGGTCTTGTAAAACGGGAAGCAGCCTGAAAGGCAAGCAAGCAAATGCCCATAAAGCAATGCACCACTGGCATGCAGTGTTAAAGGGAGAGGACATCTAAAAGCCCGGACTTATAAAGGAAGGACACAACAGGCATGACCTAAGGCCCGCCCAATTCACACAGTACTTGACAACAAGAACATGTGTTCGGTTAAAGATAGTTGCCTCTAGGAAAAGACCAGAGGCACCTGCACTGATTATCTACATTAGATTAGATGCCTGAAATGTATCCCATTTTATTAATATTTATACCCCAAATGGAGAATTTAACATTAATGAAAGTACAATGATCAATACAGTATGGCAACAGAATCTACTGCCTAGGCAGGCTGTGGTCTCTCCCTCACCAGAGGGATTCAAGAAGCAATTGGACAGTCATCTGAATGGAATGGTGTAACTTAGTGTCCTGCATTAGCAGGTGGTTGGATCCAACAGCCTTCTTGGCCCCTTCCTGATGGCTAGGTCTCCTAGGGTATGGAATGGGCTTTCACAGAAGGTGACTGAGCCCCATCGGTGAGGGTGTTTAAGGATAGGCTAGACATGCAGATGGTAGGCATGTCATGAGTGGAGCCGGCTGGAGCTGGGGGTCAGACTAGATGGCCCATGAGGCCCCTTCTGATTTGCTCTGTTTCTATGTTTCTATTATAAATACACACCAACAGACAGATTCCTGTTGAAATAGAGTCTTTAATTTAATTTAAAAGGAGAAGGGAACCAGTGTAGTAGCTTCACCACTAAGAAGGCCTCATCATTTTTTTTCATCATGATCCTGGATGAAAGCACAGCATGTTCATCCTCTGGGGCATATCTTAAAACCTGGGCAGCAGATTTTGGGTCCATACCCCCCAATATAAATAAAACATAGCTCCTTGATTGTTGTAGACATTGTACAAAACTATTTATATGCACTTTAGTGGAGGAACAAGCAGTAAGAGAAAGGATATGCTACAGTTAAGCCGGCAAGGTGGCAGATTTCATTTTTCCTTTTGACAATATTGATATAGGAAGCAAATTTTAAATATGCATCAAAAGAATTAAGGTCCAAGTTCAAACCAAGCCAGAACTTTCCCTGGAAGCAAAAATGACAAAACTAAAGCCGCTCTGCTTCATATACCATGAAAAAGAAGACTCACTGAAGAGGACAATAATGCTAGGAAAGTCAACTATGACATGAATCAATCTCATAAAGGAGGTCACAAGAGATGAGCCGGGCTATCCAGGACAGGAAGATATTTGGAAGGCATTCTTTCACAGCAATCCTAACCATGTCTTCCAGGAGCAAGACCCTTCTTGACCCAATGCGCAGTAAGTTTGTATCAGCACAATTCCCCTCCACACTTCTAAAATAAGCACCCATATTTATTTAGCTGAATGGACTGCTTATATTACTGTACATATCTGAAATCAAAGTATACCCTTTTATTATTGTTCATGAATATGCTTTATGAAATGATCTTTCTTTTTCGTCGTCTTTCCCCTTCTCTTTTGTGGTTTCCCACACCCATTTTTGTCATTGCTGTTTTGTTGCTTTTGGTTTTTGTTTGGCATTGCTGCAGCTGCAAAATACGCCCCCCCCCCCCCCCCCGTTCCTGCTCTCCTAAGTGCAATATTTACAGAGGAAAGAGATAAAAGGAAGACAGATTATGGCCACAAATTCCTCACTACTGAGTAATTCCTGGCAGAATAACCAATCCCTGGAATGTGTGCGCGCGCACACACACACACACACACACACTTTCTGCAAGAAAGCAGTTGTATGAAAGTTGTCCTGACCCATTCAATTATCTGAAAGGTCCAAAATGCCAAGAAAAAAAGAAAGTCTCCCATGATGGAATTACCAAGTGTGTCTGGGGCTGTGGGACTGAGATGCCCGATCCGCAACGTCCACTCCAGAATTTCTAGGTAATCTGACATGCTGCTGTATTTGAAGATATCACTGATATTCTGGCCTGAGGTCCCCAAAAACCTACATTGAAAAGGGAGAAGAAACTGAACAGTGGAATGGCAAGACCAAATCCTAGCAGCTAAGGTTTGCTAAAAATTAGTTTTATGCCAAAGATTCCTCCAGTGCCCTGCTTTTCAAACAGAAATGCTGAGTGGTAGGTTAGGCTGAGAGTGAGTCACTGGCCCAAAGTTATCCCGGTTTGCTTTATGGCCGAGTGGGGACTAGAAGCCAGGTCTCCTGAGCGCCAGTCTGACACTCTAACCACTATGGATGGAGGCAGTGCTGAGACTGCGGCCCTGGTGAATTCAGCTGCCTCCTCCAACTGGCTGTGAGTTTTATTAGGTTCTTCATGCATGTGGCCCCCAAGTGGGCTTCTCTGCAAAAATAACTCTCTCCCCTTTCCCCATATCTGCTCATTGCGTTGGGGAACAATGAGGCAACAATATTGACTTAACCCATACAGCAGCCTCCCCCAATGTGGTGCGTTGGAGTATAGCTCCCATCAGCCCCAGGCAACATGACCAATGGTCAGGAACAGTGAGAGCTACAGCTCACAACACCTGCAGCATGCTAGGCTAGGGGAAGGCAGCTTCATAGGTCGTTGTAAGAATGGCAACTACATCACGCATTTGAAGCACCTGAAACACTTAAAAACATTTATTATTTATATGTATATCCTGCCTTTTTTTCCTCCCAAGGGACTCAAACCCTTCTCTTAATCTTACCCTCTCAACAGGGTACGGTGGGCTAAGGAGGCAGGCTGGGCTAAGAACCCGCGACTGCCCCAGAATCAGCCAGTGAGCTCCATGGCGCAGCGAGCACTGGCACGCCGATCTCCCAAGTCCCCAGTCCAGCACTGGAACCACCACACCACACTGGCTCTCTCTCTCATGGAAACGGCATACATTAGTAAACACAGTGGTGGTAACAGCGGTAGCATTAATCATGGTGAGAGTAGCAGCAGAGGAGCAGTGCTTTCTCAAGCAGTGCCTGCCTTTACCTGACACCGTCAATGTTAGCCTGGTAGGGGTTGGTGACCAGCTGCAGCGTGGGGTAAGGGCTTGACAACGGAAACATGCAGCGATGCAGCGGCTGCTGCGGCAGCGTGTAGTTCGTGGGATCAAACTCGCCAGGCATCACATCTACAGGTACAGACATCTGAAGAGAAGAGCAGCCGATCGGTCAACTCACCCCAGAAAAGTTTCCCTCGCTGGGCAGAGGCAGCAAGGCAAGATTTAACCGAGGAGGAACGCAGCTGATCTGGTAGCAACAGCTCTCTGCCCAAGGCACCCCGTTGCTCAGCTTGGAATGCTGCACGGTGCCCTGTGCATGGCTGCCTTTGAGACTCTTGGGAAACCATGGCTGGCTGAGAATGGTGCAGCCACCAAGAGAAGGCTGTTTTCAGAACAGGGAACAGCACGCTATCCATTCTGCCTCAGCGCCTACTCTGCCTTTCAGCCAGCAATGGGGTACTTGTGGCCCTTTCTCAAGGGCTAAAAGAAGCCTGGTTCATTCAATGAAGCCGAATGGTGGGGAATTCAGGACAGGAAAAAGGATGCTGTGAAGGCAACCAACTGGATGGCTTTGGAAGGTAGTGAGGCACATTCAAGAAGGGCAAAACAGTCGGTAGCTCTGAGTCCCGATGCCACTTCCAGGAGCGAAGGCAGCCGGCCTCTGGATGCCGAGAGAGCAACTGTATCTTTTATATCCTGCTGGTGGGCCTCCCACTGGCCTCTGGTTGGCCACTGTGAAGAAAAGGTTACTGGCCCAATACGCTTTAGCTTGGTCCTGCCACAGTTCCCTCTTCACGCCAGCAATAATGTGTTTTGCTCTGGACGGAGGCCCCAGCGCCACCCTCCCGCCACCACGTCTGAAAACGGCACTTACGCTCAGCTGCAGCAGGATCTCATCCAGCATTTTCACAGCCTCCACACTGGCAGCTTGAGTCTTCTTGGTCAGGTATTTGGCCTGAATGAGAGGCGGCAATAAGATCAGAGAAAGAAGAGAATGAAATAAATATTTAAGCAGTACAGTGGGAATTGGTGGGAAAACTCTGCATCCTTCACATGTTCTATGAAGGACACGCAATGCTTTTACAAAACCAAACACATCTGCAGGGCATCAGATTGGGAAAGGCTGGTCTACTCAGAGTGGCAGAGGCTTTCCAGTTTCTCCCTCACGTTTTTCCCTCAGTGGTGTTTGTTTTTCAAACTGAAGGTGTCTGGGAAGAGACCCCAGAATTCCTGTTTGCAATTGCTGCCAAGAAAAGGAATGTACTCGAAACAATGGAACTGTTGAAGTGCAATCGTGAATGCCTAACATCCAAAAAGCAGCTAGTCCTTGGCATTCATCAAGAGAAGATGCTCCAGCATCCTTTGGCATGGAAGCATCTGATAATACACAACTCTCCACCACTGCCCGACACGGCACACATACATACACATGTGCCTGTCCATTTTCTGAGAGATTCCTGCCAAATAAATGTATCAAGCTGTGCGCACGAAATCAGTTGCCAAATTGCACAACGTCAATTGCAAAATACCAACAGTGCTAGTGGGCCCACTGGGTGTGGTCTGCAAGAATGGAATGCAGCATTTCTGCTGAAGACAAGCAGGGAAGGGGGTTGGATGGCGCTTGGTGGAGAGGCCAACCTGGCAACCCTTAATTTTATGGCGGAGGAAAGGCAGGTCAACAACAGAGTGTCTACTTAATTAGTCCAGAACTTATCAAGGGCTTGCACCTTGTTCATGGTGTCTCTGCTCTGGGTATTATGGCTGAGCAAATTGCCTGCCAAGATGACTCGAGAGATGAGGGCTGCACTGGACTGCTCTCCCTCGGCACCCAGCTGACCAGTCACCATGTCCACCAGGAGCTGCGTGCCAAAGAGACTCTCTCCGCTCTTGCCGCCGAGGCCGAGCCCCGACACCAACAAGACAAACCTGCAAGACAAGATTTTAAAAAACAGGAGTGCCCCAGATGCTCATGTCAAAGCAAAGGAATAATAATAATAGTCTGAATTTGAGTGACCATCATGGCTAATGCTATGCTAAGACTACACTGGCAGCACAGATCATAATCCACTCAGACAATACTGGTTATTGGACATATGAAAAGGTAGAATAAGTACACATATAAATAACATAACCCATTTATGCCTACTCAGTGGGATACACTAAGACGGGCTGCCTACCCAAGAAGTCCTTTCAAAAAGCAGCAGGCCTAACTTGAGCCAAAATTTAGATCTCCCACAACACACCTGAGATAGTGCTGCACTGGGACAGGGTGACTAGGTGAAATGGTGGCAAGGCCCAGCTGACTAGTGTCATTCGGAACGATGCTGCCATCAAGTAAGCGAGCCTGCCAGAGCTCATCTGGGATGGAGAAGGCTCTCCTTAGGGCCCTCTCAAAGTTGTAGAAATCCCCGACCTCCCCTTTACAGGGGGCCCTGGGATTCTGCATCAGAAAAAAGAACTGACCAGGAATTAAGCTTTAGAAGAAGCATTCCACCTATGTAGAATGGCGAGAAACTACACAAAAGGCAGGAAGCCACCAGACTGGTGTTCAGTAACAAGGGAGAAGGATGCTGGACAAGACAATGTCTTTGGGGAATCTGGGAGAACCAGCCTGAGACGACAGGCAGGACATATCTAGCTCACGGGAATGGGGACCAACATCCTGACATAAATAGTACAGGTGCACCAGCAACAGCAGAAGAGAATGATCAGGAAGAAATTAAGAATCTTCCTTTCTTAATAATGTAGCCACAGGAGAAAGCACACAAACATCCTGAATGAGCCAAACATGGGAGGTTGAGCCACGTTCTACTTCTACACTGGCCTTGGCCTTTTCTGAGGATTTTATGAGCAGCCTCACCTGTCTGTACTGGGACCCATCATGGGCAGCTGGGTGGGCATATCTGCAAAGCAGTGATCTTCGACAAGGAACTTGCCATCGTCTCCCTCTGAGCCGTAGACAGCCAGGATAGTTCCTTGGATGAGCAGCAAAAAGGACAGACTTACAACAGGTCAGTGCTGGCCAGCCCTGTACAAAGCCCAGGAACCAGGATTCACAAAGTGTGGGAGACATGAAACACGAGGCCAAGGTCCAACCTCTTTTACCAGTCAAATGTACCAGGTTGTGCCTCAGTCCGTGCCTCCGGGAAGGACCTCTCATTCCTAACAGCTTGTAAAAAATGTGATGGCTGAACTGAGCCACAAAGCTGCAATTTTAGTGCAGCTGCAGGAATCATCTGTTGTCCCTTTCCAGATAATGACTGGGGGTTTTTCACACACAAAAAGCAAGCCATATGCTCAGGGGCACTAGAAAACATGCTTCCTCTACTGGGTGAGAACCCCATGCCTTTCCCAGGCTTCAAGCAGCTGCATAATTTAGTTTGTTAGTAAAATCAAGTGAGTGGCAGAAACACTTAAAACTTTGCAAGCAGCTGCTGCTTCCACAGGTTCACAAACCAAAACGCACCAGGAAGATTCCCTGGATGAGATCAAGGCATTTCTGTTTTCTCACTCATTGCAGTAAGTATAACCTTTGGAAAAATCCAATTGCAACTGAGGAAAAAGCTTCATGTTATATTGGCAATTGTCTATCGCTAGATCTCCATAGGCTGAGATAACACGAAGGCTGCTGCAGGGACCTCAGCTGGTGAGTGACCTGCTTGACCCCACCCCCGACATACGCACCCATGAATATTCCCCTGCAAGTATGGCTCCCTTCCAGGCTATTTTCCTCCTAGCCTGACTTATTTCGAAATCCAGAGCTGGAGGGGAGGTGGGAAGGAGAGGAGGTATTTGCAACACAGATCTGCTGCCAGCAGGGAAACAAAATCACAACACCCTTTGCCACTTTCATCTCTTTGTCTCCCACACACCACGTGCATTTGCCAGAGAAAAATGCACGGGGAGAAGGAAACCGGCGTTGGCACTACTTGGCCTGTAGTGCCCATAAAGCCAATTATGTTCCAAGACGGGGATCACATGGAAAGGGTGGGCAGCAATGGCTTTTTGTTTCATGGATACTTCAGTAGGCACAGGACCCTGATCTGAACTGGGATTTATCGGGAGGCGAGGTGGAGGGGCTTGCAAGATCGGGATCAGTGGCTCTCCAGCTGCTCTAGACAGCAGTCTATCTTGGCCCCGGGTACATTTTGAGAAGGGAAAGGGATTCCAAAACGAAGGCCGTTTCTGCAGCTTGGTTCCAGGACAGGCCTTGCTCCCGTCACCATCTCTCACCTGCCTAGCCATCCTACCTGTCACCAGCGTGTCAGTCTCTATGTCTCCCTCCAGCTTGATGCGCTGCAGCTCATCCTCCAAGATCAGCTCATCCGACGGGTGGATGTATTTGGTGCGTGGAGGCTGAGGCGGGAGATTGTGCTGTGAAAGCAAGCGGCACCTTGATGTGAAGAGGGAAGAGGAGCAGTTCCACAACTTCCTTTTGTATGTACCAACAAAAGGGAGATTCCTGTACATGTATTGGTCTCACGATGCTTCCCCATCAAAGAATTGGTGCAAGCTGGAGTTCCATTACTTTATGACCATGGACACTGGATGGGCTGACATAACACTTTCAGTGTCTTAATGTGGATTTACTTTCTCAACCACTGCAGATGAGCAAAACACATAAGGCAAACATAAAGACGAGAATGCCAATAAGGACAAGTCATCCTATGACAAAGAACACCAACTTTCCAATGTGCCTCCTCCCGCCTTTAAATGTGCAAACTATAATTCATACGCTGTTTCCTTTTAATGGCTGTTGGCATTCAGGACTGCAGCAAGTGAGTTTTACAGAAATGGATCCAAGACTGATGTTACTCATCTGGTCAGTAACTTCCTACAGCCAATCTTTGGTGGTTTTGCTCCAGCACATGTGTTTGCGATCATGACATACTGTTTGAATGGAGTTCATTACTGAGGCGAGTTAAACTCATTATTCAACAAAACATCCTTCCAAAGTTAGCAAAGACCTCACTTCTTGCTAAAAAGTCAAGTTACTCTCTCAACAGAATGAAGAGGCTTCCAGACAGGCAATTTTTTCCCCCTGATGCCAGCTCAGCTAGCAAGATCAACACAGACTGCAACTCCAAGAAACCTGTGTAGAATAAAAGAGGGAAAGGCCGGTTGCTTACCTGCAACTGCTCTTCCTCAAGTGGTCATCAATGCATCACACCTATGGGTGCTGCGCTTGCGCAGTGCCTGTGTTTGGGAAGATTCTCTCAGCATTAGCAGTTTTGGTAAGAGGCCCATCCTCCTGCCCCCCACCCCAGTATAAATGGGCAGAGTTCCCACCCTTTCGCCAGTCTAGTTTTGAGGTGATACTGTCATTTCCGGTGCCTGAGTCTCAACCGGGCTGAAGTGTGGTCTCGGGGAGGGTTTTGGCAATGGGCTCGGCATGCAGGAGATGGTCGCAGTGGTGTTTATATGAAGGGAGGACAAACCAGAGGCTCACTTGGCACCAAGGTGCCCTGTTCCACTGCATATGGGTTTGGAATGTCTTTCCTTGCCAAATGAGAATGCTGCTGCTGCTGCTTCTTCGTTGTCTTCTATGTCGTCGTTGTCTCCTCCTCCTCTCCTCCGGCTTCTTCTTCTTCTCCAGCTTCTCTTTTCTGCGACGCTTGTCTTCAGCAGTCCCTTTGGTCTCAAGGTGTTCCTTTTTCTCCCTGTTTTTTAGGAGACTGAGACCATCCCAAGCGCTCTTTCTCAGATCTAGCGCTCTCACCTTGATCACCACACAGAGGGCACTTCCTTCAGAGGTGGAAGGACCATCAGGTTGAGCCACGGTGGCCTCCATCTCAAGTAAAGCCCTTTCCCATAGGACTTTCTTGAGGCAATTTTCTCAGTTCTTGTGACCCTTTTTGGTGAAGGCTCGGCAATGAACACATCTGTCCACACAATGTCCTTCACGGAGACAGAGCAAACAGAGCGAGTGTGTGTCTGTAGATGGCTTCTTCGCTCTGCACTGGTCACACCTTCTAAAAGCAGAACACTGTGCCATTGAGTAGTAAGAAATAAAGGTAAGGAAAGACAATAGAAGGGGTTTTTTAAATTATTTTTGTGAGGGGAGAATGTGTTGAGGGGAGGGGGAAAGGGAAGCGTGTGCTGAGGGTTTAAGCTTGCAATAAAGGTTAGGGTAGCGAAGTTTTATAAGGGATTTAGGACGAGAGCATAAAGATAAGTGTAAAGTACAAAGTAGAAGTTTGTGAGGGAAATCGAAAGCAATGAGAAAACCCGAGGCACAGCAAACGGCGGTCGAAAGTGGACTGGGAAGAGGATGGGGACTCTGTCCATTTATATGAGAGGGTGAGGGAGTGGAGTTCCCACCAAAAAATGTTACTAGCTGAGAAAATCTTCCCGAAGACAGGCACTGCGCAGGCACAGCACCCATGTGTGTGATGCACAGAGACCACGACAAAGAACTTAGTATACCAGTGCCAGTCACTGGGCTGGAGGGGCAAGCAGTCTGGCTCGGCATGGGGCAGCTTCCCATGGAACCTCAAGGTCCCAACTACTATCTTTTCCGTTGCAGAATCACTCCTCCTCCTCCCAAATCAAGCTGACTGTTCAATCAGCCTCACTCCATTTTTTTATTCTTTGCACAAGAGCAAAGCTACTGAACGAGCAATCCAAGACTTAGAACTCAGTTTTGTCATTCCCCAACACGCCCTGCTATGCTTTATCTCCACACCAGGAAAAGCTTTGCATACTTAATTTCTGTGTGCCTGGGGGCTCTTTAAAAAGCACAGGCACAGCAAGAGTTAATCTGATAGAATCACAGAATAGTAGAGCTGGAAGGGGCCATGAAGGCCATCGGGTCCAACTCCCTGCTCAATGTCCCATTCAAAACTGCACCTTCATTTTTATTTTTAAAAAATAATCAGTAGACTAAGCAGTTCTCCCACAGTCTTACCACAACAATTCCCTTGTGAAATGGGAAAGCTGCCCCCAATTGCTGGGATGCTAACACAGCCCGTTTCCCAGGAGAGGGTGTTATCACCTTAATCCTACATGAAGCACTTAAAAGCAGTTAACATTTTATTGTGCTCTACCTCAGCCTTCCCAGACTTGATGCCTCCTGGTATATTGTATGACAGTTCCCATCATCCACAGAAATGTGGCTATAGTGACTGGAGATTGTAGTTCAATGTATCTGGAGGATAGCAGGCTGAAGAACTGCCTAATGTTTGATATTTGGGAGTATTAAACATATAGCCATGCATTGCTCCTCTTCTTTATTTTGCTTTTCAAAGGAAGAGTGGAACATTTGAATGTTTACAAGACATAATACAACTTGTGCTTAATACTGGCAAAACTCCCAAGCTTTTAGCCATTCCAATGACATATTTAAGTTTTCCTCAACTCTAACATCAACTTAGAAAAGGGCATTGCTGCTGGTAAAAGCAGCAAGAAGAGCTTCATTTTGTACAGAGAATTTTACATTGTCTTTTCATCCTGGTTTTGGAAAATTAAGTGCTCCGAGATAGATTGGTTTTCCTCGATGTGATGCCCTCAGATGTTTTGGACTTTAATTCCTATTAGCTCCAGCCAGCAAGGCCAATTGCCAGGCATGCTGGTAGATGTAGTTGAGGAAAGCTGACAGCCCTGAGTTGGGATGGCTTAGACATCAAAACCAACTCCCTGTTCAGTGCAGGAAATCCTGAGCTAAAGCATCCCTCAAAACACTGCCAGTGAGGGACAGGCCACCACGCTGCCAGCAAATTGCACTCATTGTGGAACAGCTCTTAGCTAATGTTCAACCAAAATCTACCCTCCCGGCATGTACCCTGCTAGACCTAAACCTGCCCTCTGCAGCAGCAGGAGGCGTGCCTTTAACCTCTTCTGCATTACAACCCTTTCTGTTCGTTCCCCCTTGGCTTTATGTTCTCCATGTTGATCCAGATCCAGATCCTTCCACCTTTCTTTATAAGATTGCCTCCCACAATACCACTGACTGACTTTGGCCACCTCTGCACCCATTCATATATTTCTCTATCAGCCTTTCTCAACTTTCCACCTTCCATATATGTTGGACTAACTCCCAGCCAACTGGGAAATGCCAGAAGTTGCGCTCCAACACATCTGGAAGGCACTGTGTGTGGAAGGCTGGTCTATATCCTCTACAAAGTGTGGCATCTAGAACTAGACACGTGTAAGCTTGCCTAAAGAGGCAGCTCAAAATTGTCAAGATGTTTGAAAGAGTTTGTCAGTAAGGTTTGCATCCTTTTGAAATAACAAAAAAGTCTGTATGCTAACTTCCTTTGCCTTCTGTGAGGTTTGTTTTGACTTTTAAATGGAAAGAGACTTGATGCTGAAAGCAAAATTTATCTCCAATATTAACTGGAGTCAGTACAGGAATGAATGATTTTAAAACACAGAAACACATGCCAAGAGTTCTCATTAAATAAATGTTGCAGGATGGTTTGCTTGCTTTTGAAACTTCAGTGAACCTATGAGATTATTTTAAGGAGTACATTTTGTTCGATTGCACTGGTGCAAAGACTCAAAGAAAATGAAAAGAGTGATGATTACCAAGGCCAAGAAGCTGAGAAGTAAATAATCTCAGAATGCAATACAGCATGCGCCTACCTGGGAGTAAGTCCCACTAAACCCAGGGGGACATACTTCTTGGTAGACTTGCATAGGATGGCAGTGTCCATTTAGGAAAGAATGCAGTTCAGTGAATACAACTGTTATAATTCCACCACTGGTAGAAAAACAAAAAGCTTTTAAGAGGGGGAAGCAATACTGAGCTGGATCCAGTTACGCTTGGAGCACAGATGGGACTTTAGTCAGTCATATGCACTGTCAAAAGGCAAAAGGGGAATTTAACCAGATTTGTATTTCTTGCAGGTACATCCAGTGTAGCTAATCTCTGGGCGAAGGGTAATCAGATGTTAAAGGCTGATAAAGACTGGGCTGATGAGAGTCCTGGCTGTGGCCAACATCCAGCTTTCTACGCTAGTCTTAGGTACTATGGTATTAAATGAGCTAAGCAACTAACTGTAATCTGTGAGTCCTTGTGAGGATTTGTGAATCACCTGCTTTGCATACAGAAGGTCCCAGGTTCAATCCCTACCATCTCTCCATTAAAAAGGGTCCCTGGTTTTATTGCTAGTCCATTGTGTTTTCTTCAAACTTCACAACCAGTGTGAATATAATGGCAATTTATGAATTGCTGGGGCTGCTCAGGAGAAAGCGAGCCACCTCCCACCTGCTCACTTTTGTATCTGCTTGATTAAATAAGCCAGGAAGGCCCATTTCTAGACAGTTAATCATGATGTTCAAACCTGGCTCCGAGCTGATGAGGTTAAACATCCCCAAGTTTTACTCCAACAATAAAACATGGGTTAAACTCTGAGTGTTGTTAAAACACTCAAGCACTCAGAGTGTTGGGTTTGGGCATTATAGCAACCCAGGGCTGTCTCCCTACGTGGATGAAAGCAGAAGAGGTGGGCAAGGGGCAGCAGTCTCACTTGCATGTAAGCTACAACAATCCAGGTCAATCTTTATCCATTTAGCTTTCTTCTGCTGATTGTTTCTTGTACTTTAAAAAATGTTCTTTCTTGCAATTGTATTGCATTTATCTCTTTACTGTGCGTCATCCTGAGAGCCATTCACTATATGCTGGCTTACAGGTTTTAGAAACAGATAATATAAAGTTATACTTTTTAATATTTCTGCATACCACTTTGCATCTCTCTGTATACCACTTTTGTTGGCTTAAACAAAATATTTTTTAAAAGAGCTTCAACACTAGATCTGAACAGATCAGTGGTTTGACTCCTCATAGTAAGGCTATAGATATTCTCATCTGAACTTCCCAAATTAATCACTCTTCCATTACCTCTTCACTGATTTCCCGCAGGATGGAAGGCTGAAGCTGCATAGACTTGAAGAGGGTTCCCACCACACAGCACTTCTCTGCTAACTGCAGTTCACACAACTTCTTTACTGTAATGTTGCTTCCTTCAAGAGAACGATGATTAGAAATGTAGAATCTTTCAGGAATTAAGATGCAATCCTATGCATGTTTAAATGGAAATGAATTCTGCAACAACTCTTTTCAACTCACAGTCTTCGGCACCAACAGAAACCTGTTTCACTGCAAACTCAGTGACTGGGAAGAAAATATGCTGATTAAGAGAGTTAGAGAGGTAGGAACACTTTGGTAGGCGCCGGGAAAGGTGTCCAGGAGTACACAGCTTTATCTGACTCTTCTCTAATTTGGCATCATTATTGCACTGCATTTCATTTTTATTTAAAGCATTTATATACCATTTGATTAGCATAAAGTTCTCAAGTGGTTTATACAATAGAATTAAAATATACAAAATCCAACAATTAACAACAGATTTACCTGCAAGAAAAATATCTATGCACAATAAAATTTTTGCAGGCCTATGTAACAGCAGCCACAGCAACAAAACAAAACCACAGTACAATAAGTAACAGCTATTCCAAATGTACCAAATAATTTAAAAACCAATAATATAAAACTAGAAAGTTGACAATTAAAATGCAAGGAAAATAAAGTTTTAACATGGTGCCAGAAAGTAGTGTTGGCACCAAGCATATTTACGCCCTGCCTTTCTTCCTCCTACAAGGAACCCAAGGCAGCTTACAAGAGTCTTCTCCAATAAATAATCCTCAAAATGAATTAATTTGGATACACCGTTATCACGTATTAAGATCAAGTCCCTTTTGATCCTGCTTGTATGCTGAGGTGACAGTGTTTCATGGACACTGATGCTGTGAAGAACATACACATATGGGGTGCGGGGGGGGGGTTCAAAATGTCTTTGTGAAGTGTGATGTTGAATCCAGCGCCACTGACAGAATGTTCACTGCATGTCATCTGCAGACCAGGCAGCTGTAACTTTAAAATGCCTTGCTAAAATGGCAAGATTTCATAAACTAGAATAGATGCTGAAAACTAGAATAGATGCTGCACTCTAGTGACTGCAGATGAAAACTGCATTACACCCTATTTAAACTTAAAATTAATTTTCCGTCTTTTGGCAGGCAAGGAAAATATTACTCCATCTACTAACATTTCACCAAAGGACGCAAATGTACTTTTTCAAAAGGGTCCAAACCTTTCATGGTTTCATTATAAACATTGACCAAAAATAACAATAGACACCTCTAAGAACAGACTGAACAGCAGATGAAAGCCATAGCATTGACCAGGGAGACTGAAAAACACATGACAGAATAAGTGGGTTTTTAAGATACAACAGAGCACTAAGAAAATTGCTCCATCTTCGTGCCCCCTGGATAGCTTTCCAACTTTTTACAAGACCCTTTCCCTACATCATCCCAGGAGATTATCTCCAATTATTGTGACAAAGCTTTTTAACTGCAAATTTGGTGTGCAGTTTCAATGGAATTCCACTGACTATCAAGTGACTTTCACGCCACACAGCTGTAGGTGCACATGCCCAACTTCAGAAGGTGCCAGCACCACAACAAGAGGATGCCATTTTGATGACAGACTTACCCCATTTCCGTCGGGCTCTCTCCACCAATAATGGTCTCATCTGGATGAGGCGTGTGGCATAGATGTGGGCATACTGCCGGCTGAAAGTCCTCTCCTCAAGCCTGAAGTTTTGGGAGCAGTTGGAATATGTGGAAACAGGCACACGGACAAAGGTAGAGGCCACGGCAGAAGGGGAGGCCAAGAGGCTCTGTGCAGACTGGACAATCTGTTCCGAAAACATGGCCAGCAGGATGGCAGATCTAGGCAGACAGTTTCTGCAGATAACAAGGTAAGATTGTGGGTGAATGGCCAGCAAATTGCTCTACAGAACTTGTAATGCAGATTTAATTCCCAAAAATTACTTCTTCAGACAGGGCAGAGTTGAAGCATGGAATCTGCTGTGATGGTTTGAAAGGGAATGAGACAAATTCATAGCAGAGAACGTTATTAATAGCTAGAAGTCATAATGGCTATATGATACCTCTCAGATCAGATACTTTCCTGTCTCTGAATGCAAGCTGTTGGAAAAACAAAGGGAGGGGGCTGCGACCTGCTTCCTGGGGGGATCTGACTGGCCACTGTGGAAAACTAGATGGGTTTTTGGACTGATCCAGCCGATCTGGTCTTAGAGAGGGATGGGTAAGAGCAGCACTGCAAGATCAGACCAAAGCGGGCAAGCAAATGCCCATGAGAACCCCACGGCAGGACTGGAGGGCAACAGCGTTTACCTACTGCAGCTCATTGTTCTGGAAAGCATTCACATGCTTCTCCCAGTTTTTTCCTCCCCAAGTATTCTGAGGTGGGTTAGGCTGAGTTGCACACCTTCACAGCACAGAAGTCTAGCCCAGACAAAACAAGCATAATTGTACCTCACAAAGCAGCTGCAGCACACTTTCATTATATGCATCGATGAAATTGATTGAAAATAAAAAACAGAAGCCTCTAAAACGGAGAGAGCAAAGCTCTGAGCAACCTCTAAGGGCAGACTGGGATTCATAGGCTCTCCCAATCTGAAGCCAGCAGCATGGAAAGAACAACACAGGCGACCTTGGCTTCCCCATCTTCCAACTTTCGATTGAGGCTCTAGGGAGGATTCTTTAGAGAAGAACAGTGGGAAGCTGAGGATAAATCATATCCAGGCCTCTCTAGTCTCCTCTCCCTGCTCCTTTTTCTTTCCTCTCCAAGGTCCATTTTCCTACCTCAGAGAGGATTCTGGTGCAGTTCCCTTAGCACTGCCTGTGATGGCTGGATTCTCTTTCTAAGAATGGAACTCTGCCCTCAGAAGGGTGTTTGGGGTCATTCTACAGTCCCTGAGATCCACTGGAATGCTTACTTAGCAACCTTTATGGCTGGAGATTTGAACCCAAGTTCCCTATTTCCAGATTATTTTTTCAACAATTTATTATCTCAACAAATCTATATAAAGAATACAAAAAATGTAACTTCACATATCTGAATTTATGAATTCAACTGATATGAAATTTGTATTTTGAAAATACAGCTTTAAAAAAAAATACACATCAATTTCAACAAAAGCAGTCCAAACATCCCATAGCCAGAAGTTTCTCTAGTCATCAAAGCACACTGTATTTCAAAGGCATGCATTGATCTCAGTGCCAAAGCAAATGAACATCATGGTGTATGAATTTCCTTAAAACTATGCTAATTCAACTATGCACTATGCTTGTGCCCTCTGACAGTTTCTCAGCATCATTTATCTGTCCAGCAAGTTTCTTAGCATCATTTTTTAAAGATCATGCAAAACCAGGATACATATAAGGATCATTCATAAGTAGTTCAAGAATGAGCAGACTATACATTTGCAGGATGTACTTTGTGTTTTTCATTAGAACCTCCAGATCTGCCAAGCAGGGATGAACAGAGGCTCCAGAAGGCAGATTTAAGAATGAAGGACAGCTTCTCTGAGCACATGCTCACTCCAGGTCAGGACCAAAAATCTTCTCTTTGCTTGATCCCGCCTCCACACTAACCCCTCCCGCCCTCTTTATTCATTTTACTCATAAGGTTCATATACTTCCAGTATGGAGATTTTGGAGTGGTAAACAACCAAAACTAGCACAAGGAACAGGGTAGAACTCTAGGTTAAAAACCGAGGCTGAGTTTTTCCCCATTTCATGTCCATGTTCCAACTGCAGGGTTTCTCTCTGTGCATGTTCCACCTGCAGTATTTCTGTTTCGTGCAACTGCTGTTACACAGCAGCAGGAAAGCACAGGACGCCTACCAGCATTTTATTTCTAAAGGAGGTGGGTAACTCTAACCAGGGGCCAAAGTTCACCCGGCATCATTAACGCAGCACACCCAAGCCCCTTCTTATGGTCCCGCCAGTAAGCCAGGAATCCTCCCCGGGAACGACCAGCGCCCGGCGGCGCATTCGAGCCGCTCACCTCTCCCGCGAGGAGCGCCGACCGGAGCAGGCGCCGCATCTCCCGCCACCGGCGGCAAAAGGAAGCTCCCCGGGCGCCGGGCGCGCGCACCCAAACCGCGCCAAACGGCAGCACGCCGAGAGACTCCCGCTAGCGGACGCCGACAGGAAGTGACGCGCGCGCCGCCCGTAGAGCTAAGAAGGTAGAAGAGGCGCAGACGGACAGCCCTTCGCTTGGATCACGATTCCCTGATTTGCCCGTAAGACGATGGGAATAATTTCAGGCGAATTTTTGCTAAGTCCTGCCAACAAAACAAAAGCAAAAGTTAGGACTCCTTCTCCCCCGCCCAAAAATGCAGGTCTTATCGTGGGTAGAAAAAGTTCCGTTTTAAAACATTTTTAAAAACATCCTATCAATGTAAATTCAGATGCAAACCAAACTTATATTGTCTTCTTGTGGTAGGCTTGGATGGAAAGCAGGGTTACTAATTGTGGCTAAGAGATAGAGAAAGAACAACAGTCCTGCAGTGTAGACTATTATCCCTTACGTGTTATTTTGGAGTTGAGGGACACTGTTTTTCATGTACCACACTTTCATTGTAAGACACGCACACTGCAGGTTTCATGAGGGGAGAGGCAAAAAGACCGTGAGTACTTTAAAACAACTTCCCTGTGCTATTCTTTACTTAGGAACGCACTGCTTTAAAAGTTTCTGTTTTCCAAGGAAAGTCCCATATGCTGTCCTGGTAAATCATTCCGTCTCTTTCTCCACCTTCAGTGATGCATTGTTCATATTTTGTTAGTGTAACTTGCTAGAAATGTTGGAGGATATTGTTGGAAAAGTCATATACATCCTGGTAGAAAAAGATTACTTATATGTGCCTTTGTGTTATAAGGTCAAACCTGCAGTATCCCTGCTCCTTTTCCTCCAAAGGTATCAGAATTCCGAGCCAGGCTTCTGTTTAGCTGTGTTTAGACTGGAACTCTCAGGTCTGCAAGGGAAGTTAATCCCTGCCTATTCTTTTGCTAACAGCAGTGACAGCTGATAAGGCTGCCTGGTTAGTTTAATGGCAGCTCTGCAATCACCCTTATTTGCATGATCAAACTCACAGGTAAGATTCACAATAATCCCCGACTTTCCCGAATTGTTGTGTCAATCTCCTGTAGTCGACACTATTGTATTAGTCCTCTCTGCAGATCTCTCATTCTTTTGACTGTGTTCCCCTTATTTTGTCCCAACCTACCCTGCTGCTGTACACATGTGACTCAAACCTATAAAACACTCAGTATATGTTCTGGAAGTTTGTAGTTGGTTTCACCTCTACCTGACAACGTGGTGGTAAGTTTCATTTCTCTGCAGAGGGTGCCTGAGAGCTGTTTCTGGAAACTGCTGAGGTTCAGGGCACAAGGGATCTTCCCTACTGAATCCATTTATTCATTCTTGTAGCTGCTGTTGAGATGCCCTGACAATATAAAGTCCTGTGCTACACACTGTAAACACACTTTGCTACAACTGCCAGTTTTGGTTGTCAAACAGTGCATAACAGTCCAATGAAAGTCACACACATGCTGCAGAAATACAACTGATTACTTGCTGCTGTTTAACAATTTGGATTTCCAGGATAAACTCCCAGGAATAAAGCCCCCCAAACACTTCAACTTTAGTTTAGTTTCCATACTATTTGTGCTTCATGTCAATAGTGTCTACAGAGGATACAGTGACATTTAAAATCCAAGTATAAATTCTAACCATCAAGAGTTTTGTGCTATCTTCATTGACTGATTTTCAGATTTCATTAGGAATGTTGTTGTGTAGCTGAGAGATCACCTTGCACTACCATGTTTACTTACCAAGTAAACAACAAAATTAAAAGGTGCCCTTTGTTAATGGTTTTTTCTCCTATGTATTTGACCTGAAATATCTGTTTAAAAAACCCCAAACTAAAACACTAAAGCACACTTAATTGACTTGGAATGTTATATCAAGCAGAATTTTGTTGTTGGAATACTGTAAAAATATAAAGATGATTGTATATGCTTCCATTACATGGAAACTTGGACACATCAAAAACTGTATATATTCTAATAAATTTTAACAATCTAAAGAATAATGTGTGACATGCAACTAACCACTGCCCATCTTGTCCAATCTTCCGTTTCACTGACGCAAATTATTAGTTCCATTTTCAGTGGAGACACAGGTGTATTGCATGAAATTTGCACATTCTTTCACACATTCTCTTGGAATAATCACCACAAAAACCTAATTAAAACTGCCACACTTATTTTAAGCTATTTGTCAAGAATAGTTACCAAATACATAGACAAGAGGCATCCTATCCCAATTAATCCCCTTTTTTCCAGAAAACCTGAAAAGGGATTTCTAAGTTTAAAATGCTTGTTTAGCCCATAGACCCTACAGTCCACATATTTGCACAGAAACCAGTTATTAAAACAAACAATAAAACGGGGCTAAATTAGGATATGTAAAATGTAACAGAGTATATATAACTAATAATACAGTTTGAGAACTAAATATATCCACACAAAAGAAGATAAATTCAGCAATGGATTTTTCATTCTAAACACTGCCTATGTCAGAGCCTAATTCAGAAAAAAATGGCAAAAACAATCATTTTAAGACTTATTTAGATCTCTATAAGACATCCAGAAAAGAAAAGGAGAGAAAATATAAGCAGTGAATTACAAGAGACTGAATCCAGAAAATGGGAACAGCTGGAACATATGCAAGGAAACCATGTGGTTTGGAAATAGAAGCATCAGCAAAATCCATGAGAGAAAATTTTCCATAAAGTTTTCTGACATTTTCATATAAGCCACACTGGAAAGTGGGGAGAGATGTAAAATGTAAAACTTGGCAAAAGATCATTTTTCATTTAAGCAGGTGTTAAGTACTTTACCATGTCCTGTATGGCAATGCAACACAAGATAGCTGTTTTTACATTTGAAATGTTTAACATTTTTCTTGCATGCTCTATGTATAGAAGTAGCAGCTATTTGGTGCTATGGAACCCAAGGACATAAGGGCTGTGTTGGATCAGACCGAAGTCTGGTGTTCTGCTCGCACAGTTGCCTGTCAGAACTCATAAGTAGCCCCTTCCAACTTAGGTGTGCCAGCAAGCTCTATGCAGAGACCTAGTGCCTCTGATTCCTGAGGTAATGGAGAGCAGTGGTTTTCAACTGCTGGCCCTTGCCGGTCCGTGAAGAGCTGCTGCTGTGCACAACGGGGGCATCTCGCTTGCCAGGACCAGCACGGGCTGCCGATGACCTGCCTCTTCTTCGGCCGAGGAGGCTGGGCAGAGAAGAGGCGGCTCAGTCTGCCCTCTGGACGGGGCCACAAAGACAGAGCCTATCCTTTCTTCTGCTGCTGGGAAGAGAAATGCTGAGGTGGGCTTCTGCTGTGTGTGTTTTCTCAGCTCCTGTGTCTGGGGGCTTGCGGGGGGTTCATTGTATTTCAGTATTTAACATTATGCATATTAGTGTATTAAGTAACTTGGTTTGATTTTGTATTGTCCCGCTGTTAATATTGTATTTGAATTTGCTTCCAGGGGAATGGTGACTTGATGAAGCACCAGGGAATGTTGCTGTTTTGTGCCTTGTCATGTTTGGGTGATTATAAATCGCCATGAGGGTGATCGCTAGATAACTTCTCTAAAGGACAGGGGAGCATCAAGACTCTTCTCTGCAGCTCTGATTTTATCAAGATGGCCTGATAAGGTAATACTGAAATCAGTAAACAAAGTCCCCCACCCCCCAGCACTTACTCTTTCTTTTTTCTTTTCTTTTTATCTTTCTTAGTTTTATTATTTCTTTGTGCACTATGACATTCTCTTTGCCAAGGTAATTTTGTTTGCATATTTTGGTATTTAAGGTATTTTTGTTTGCATATTTTGAAGGAACTGTAAAATGGATAATCTTTTGTTGACGGAGTATTATTTGCAAAGCTGTTTAATGTCTGTGATGTAGAACTAAGCATTACAAATACTGTAAACTGACCTTGGTAAGAAAATACTAGCTGGGTGAATTTTCATGCTTAATTGTGCTTTTTGCTGAGCTTTTGCATGGCCATTCAATGCACTGCCAAGGATATATGTGTGTGTGTGTTTGGACTGGCTGTGAGTTGTTTTTTCTAAGCTAAAACCTCAGTTTTTGGGTTTTATTGTAGTGTTGGCATTTTGCGATACATAAGTGGGTTTTGGGTTGCAGTTTGGGCACTCGGTCTCTAAAATGTTCACCACCACTGATCTAGAGCATCTTCTGCTACCGGTATCTTCTGAATTCTGTAGTAATCCAGTCTGTGTGAAGATGTACTTCCATTTATCTATCATGAATCTCCCCCAAACTCCATTCAGCTTCATTTGATGACCCAGCCTTGAGAGGAAGAAAAATGTCTCCCTATCCATATTCCCCAGAACATGCATAATTGTAAATATCTCTATATCGTCTCCCTCAACTCATATTTTTCTAAGCTAAACAGTCTCAGATATTGCAGATTTTCCCCATAGAGAGGTGGCATCTGTTTAAATATTATTAGTCCATTGGAGATAGGAGACACTTAGCAAGTCAAAGACAGTAACAAAACTGTTGTTCAGTAATAACCTGTTCAAATAAGCCTTGAAACATGCCAAGGTATGTGTTGATATAGAGTTTTCCTTTAACAGATATCTTCTTTTTTTATTTTATATTTCTGTGACTGAATCCATATTTGTATTCGGGGCTAAAGCATCTCCTGGAATTTGATATTCACTGTGACCCAAGCTGCGCAGAATACCTAAAAGACAAAACCACTGGCTAACAGATGTTATCTGAGAATCAGATGTTATCTTAAAAGAACAAGTTTTTAAGGCATGATGTGTTACAACCGCATCCTGTTTTCAGTCTTTCTCAGATGTTACTGTCAAAGAAGTGGTCACCACAGGTTCCTTTGCTGACAGACTTAGCTGAAAGAGATAAGCTATCCATGTATAGAACAGTTAGGAATACACGTTATTTCATTCTATAATCAAATCTGGTCCTCACAGATTTGGATCTGATGAGTCAAGTTGGATCCCTCATGAATAGGTCAGGCAGCAGTTAACAACCTGTTTCCAGACATTCCCAGAAGCTAACCATCACTCCACACGTGTGTGACCCTGCCATATCTAACCATGGCTTGTCTATGTTCTACATTAAGATCTTAATCTGTGTGAAGCATTAGACTTTTTGCTAGGATATACGAAACTTGTTTCCACACTCGCGTGAGCAGTGAGACATTTCTGAAGCAGGACTATATGGATTGGGATAGCTGGTGACTATGTAGCCCTGGGAAAAAGGGCCACTAGGTTGCCTAAAGTGTGCATAAGCTGATTTACTTGTAGAGATATCAGTGGAGACATATTTGTAGGATTTAAACAGACTTACAATAAATCCCATCATAGTAGGGAAGACTGACCAGATGTTCAGTCTGTTGTTGAGATTATTTGTCATAGAATTATAGACTCATAGAATAGTAGAGTTGGAAGGGGCCATGAAGGCCATCGAGTCCAACCCCCTGCTGTTGCAGGACACTAAGTTACACCATCCCACTCAGATGGCTGTCCAGTTTCTTTCTGAATGTCTTTAGTGTGGGAGAGCCCACCACTTCTCTAGACAGCTGGTTCCACTATCGTATTTCCTGATATCTAGCCTGATCAAATTGATGATTCCATGTCCTACACTCTGGCATCAGCAAGAAGAGATCTTGACCTTCCTCTTTGTGACAACCTTTGAGGTACTTATGGAGGGATATCATATCCCCGCTCAGTCTTCTCTTCTCAAAGCTGAACATGCCCAGTTCTCTCAGTCTTTCCTCAGAGGGCAGTGTTTCCAAACCCTGCATCATTTTGGTTGTCCTTCTTTGGACCCTTTCTAGATTCGATTGTGCTTCTGTCTTTGGTGGGAACATCCAGTGGTGTAGGGGGTACTAGAACTTGGTTGCCTATTACTGCCAGTAATTTCTCCTGTCAGAATTCTGGAATCTCAGTTTGAGAAGAGGGAATAAAACTCGGGTTCTTGGGAAAGATCAAGCATCCAGACAATCTGAGGCTTTATTGTATTTCCCCAAGGTTCCCGCGGTACTCACAATAATGCATGCATTACTGGGCAGGCAGAGATGAACTCTGCTGCAAAGCTTCAATACCATTGCAGGGCATTTATAGGTACACAGGTACAGGGCAATTGATGACAGAATGCAGAGATTACAATAAGATTCTGAGGTCATCACATACAGAACAGATAAAGAAATGTCAGTCAATCACACAGTGACAATGAGATTACAATATTTCTAATTGCCTGTATTGACACTTTAGTTCAGTAGCTTGAACCCATCTCCAGGTCTGCTTAGACATGTAAATTCAAGCTACTGAAACTATGCATGAACTCAAGACTCTTATCTACTCTAGACATTCTGAATTAGCCAGGGCACATGGAGCCTCTGGGCTATCAAAAGATACTTCCTTGTAAACTGAATTCCAACAATGACTATTTAATCATTGTGAAGGCATACAATGTAAATTTGGACTCAATGGCCTGTCTGCTGTAGCTTACAGCTAAAGGTGAGAGAAAGGAGTGGGGGAATGCCATTTTAAACAGTGACAGCTTGGTTTTGAGAAGGAAGACAGGATTTGATCCCACAATGCAACAGCGCACAGAAGTAATGTTTTTCTGACAGGATTTATCCAAATTTTCCCAACACTCCTCATCAGACTTCTGGTAAATCCTGAAGCTGTGCTTCTTTGTCATTTTGAATCCAAAGACCCTGAATTGCTACATAACGATCTTCTCAATAAATTTTGTACAACTGCACAGTCAGGTGTACCTAACTAAACTAGGTGGTTACAATTTGGGCGATTATGATTGTATACAACCATAGTCAGCAAGAAAGGAATCCTAGTTTTAGAGAGAATATGTTGTCACCATGGATTCCATTTATTTCCTTTGTGGAAGCTCTTCAAACGTTTGATCAAATTCCAACCAAGTACAGTTACCTCTATTTTTTTCTTATAAATTCTCATACACACTGTTGTTTGTTGTATTTTCATTAGGGTGCTTTTACTTCACCTGTTTCACTCAAGCAATTTCACATGAGTAATCAGACATAGCCTAAAAATGATAGTCCCTTGCTTGCTTGCTTGATCTTGTTGCCTTCTGTTTGTTTGATTTCATTTCAAAATAAAATAAACTTTCATGGAATGAAAATAAGTTCATGCACAGTGCAATCCTATGCATGTTTAGACAGAAAAAAGTTCTACTGTTACCTGAGTGATCGGCTGCAGCATGATGGAAGTTGTAGGGATTTTCCTGTTTAAACATGCATGGGATTACACCCCAAGTCAAAGTCTGTTGTTCTAAAATGGAAGCAGGATCAGGAGTTTTCACCTTGGCCACAAATAATAATATTAGTTGCGGTAAAGAAGCTATCAATAGCTGTAAATCATCTGCTAATGTCAAGTTTTTCCAGTAGCCCAAAAATACAAACTTAGAATTCTATAGAATAACATACTGGGGGAGTAAACCTTATTGCAATTCTTCTTAGGTACTTTAAATCAATTCATGTGGGTTTGGGGCAGGCAATGTTGTAGTTGCCAAGAGGCTACAAGCAAAGCTAGTAAACAGTTTAAGAGACTATTTGCATCTCAGGGCCAAATGAGGCATGACAGCAATTGCAAAGATGCAATTAACCTGCATTGGTTTTTACCATGCAAATAGCAGCTACCTCAGCAGACTTAGGACCATGGTGGTGGAAACTGGGGGGTACTCCTCTCCTCCCTGCTCTAGTTCTGACAAGAACTGTATCTCCCAATGCATTGCTTGCCATATGCATTTCAATATTTGCATTCCTTACTGATAAACAAATCCTACTTGTTGTAGCAAAGCCTAAACTAAAGCATGCTTACAGGTCATACTCCACTGAAGTGAAGGCTGCAATGCTGAATCTTCCATCAGATTGGAAAGGATCCTAATTTCACTTAGGCACGTTCAACTCAGTCGTGTCCCTTTTTAATGTCAGAGTGGCATTAATTGTGTAAAAAAATTGCCCCTCTGAAGCCACCACTAGCATTTCGATGGACATCTCCATTAGTGTCAAAGGAGGCTTCTCTTGAAATGCAAGTAGAAGCTTATGAGAAGTGATTTTTCTGGGAGCTGTGGCAGGGTGGAATAGAATTAAAACTTGTTCTCCACACCCCCTTCCCTAGTTCTGAGGCTGCTCAGGTGTCCTATAGCAGCTACTTATGTAAGAAATGTCATGCACCTTCATTTTAGGCATGTATCACATCTCCTCTAGTTAGAGTTAGGTTTAGGGTTAGGGTTAGGGTTAGCCTTGAAGCCAAGATGCTGATTTCCAGAAACAACATTCAGGAAAAGCTCTCTCATGTGCACTGTGGAAGCCGGAGGCACTTGATGCAGGACGTGACTCCCAGGGGGTCACCTCCAGCTGCATTGTTCCAAGAAAGGGACAAATTTCAGAGTACCACTCCAGAGTCATACCCTTCCTTCCCAGCCTTCTCTCCCATTACTTGAAAAGAAACTATCTTACTAATAGTGATGTCTATTTTCAGCTGAGACAATTGTCACATTTTTAATGTGGTAGAAGTGGTCTGGATGCTTCTTTGCTGCATCTGGAGGTGTTTGGTTTCTGAGGCATTTTTGATACAGCAAAATATATGTTCATTCCACACCTTCAAGACCTCAGCCTGAGAGGTTTTCACACGTTATTGTTGTCAACCCGCAAGTACAGGATGTTTCAAAAAGTGGAGGAAACAATATTCAAAACCTCAATGTCTGAGCACCCACACCTTTTAAGTTCTTTTACTAATTTTTAGACACCTGATTGGTTCAGGCAGCTCCCACATGACTGTCAAGAGCAGCTTTAAAAGATCGGTGGAGAGGTGCCAATGTGTGCATTGAACAGCTGAGCTACAATGGCTGCACTGCTCATCTTGTACCTGAACTTTGCTGTGGGGGCAGGTAAGATGCAAGGACTCCAGTATTAATTTCTGTTCCTTCCAGGCAAAAACTTCCTAGCCAAACTCTTTCCATTACGCCTTCTAACAATTACACAGATGATATAGGCCAACTAGTAGGGCAACACAAGAGGGCCATTCACATGAAAGTGTGGAGGAGAAAGATTTCTGCAGACCACTGGGAGCCTCCAGGTCTGCATGGAAAATCGCTCATTGAAAGTAAAATAGGGGTTCTAGTTCAGGTGTGTTCAGCTGATGATCACAAGGAAACCTGGCAGTTTGAGGGCATCACCAAGGAGTGCGCAGAGTGCCTTATCACTTGCCAAAATTCAAGGTGGGCAGGCAACAGGAGCTGCGGGCAAAGAGCTGTCTCATCCAGGGGGTTCAGATGCCACAGAGGTCGTGAGGGCCCCTGTGCCTTTATTTCAGCAAGTGTGGTAGGTTAGATGGCTTCCAGACCTAGAGGGCTACCCGTTACTCTGCCTCTAGAGCAGTGGAAGCAAGCTCTGTTTTATTCCACTAGTGATGATGGTGCAAGTTATAAGTTGGTTTAATATGCAAAAATGCACATGCTCAAAGGGTTTTTTTTAAAGGGGGCAAGAAAGAAGGAGAGGCAAATGGGCAGACTGAATGCTACACAACTGCATTGTGGGGGAGTGGTTAAGAATGCTGGTTTAGTATTTAGCAATGTAAGACCAGAAGAAGAGGTAGGTTAACAGAAAGAAGAAGATTAAACAGGAATATACTGATGGAGTGGGGAAGGGCAGGCAGGGCAGGGCAAATGAACAGGCAGCTTTGGGGGCTGGAGTTCAGACACAGAAAGCTTTTCTTCCAAACCCGGGTGATTTCTATGCACCACACAGTTTGTCTGTTGCCCTTCTGTTCAACAGTCTTGGCTACGTCTGAAGTGGGTCCTCCTAAGCCATGTCAGCAAGGTCCAGCATTCTGGTGCAGGGATGCGGCTACAGCTGTTGCGTGTCACAAGGAGAAATACTGCTTGGCCGGCGAGTGGAACACTTTGGTAAGGGCCAGACTCACATCCATGTCCACCCTTGAGAGTAGCTTGCGCGCGTGTGCGCGCGCGCGCGCGCGCGCTCTCTCTCTCTCTCTCTCTCTCTCTCTCTCTCTCTCTCTCTCTCTCTCTCTCTCTCTCTCTCCCCCCCCCCCCCCCACAACCCCACCATAATATTCTTTCATCCACATATACAGTCAGCATATGGCATACAGGCACAATGCTCCTAAAAGCTAGAGAGTTTAGCAAAAGAACCTGGATATATTATTGCAAAGGATGGAAACAATATCCTAGCAGGAGGCATCTTCTTAATGACAAGATCTCTATAGCTGGCATCTGAAATCAGCTATGTGCTCCTGTTGAAACACTAGGCCTGACCAGTACGAAAACCACCAAGAGCCATTTTAAGCCACATCTTCTTCAATGCTTTTTTTAGTGCTTCAGGTCCTAGGATGCTGTCTGCACCTGTTCCCTTGTATATCCCTGGGTAAGAGAGTAAGACACTGCATCTAAAATAAAGGTTGGGAAGTCAAGGAGAGACCAGAGTAGCAGGGCCAGCCCTACCATGAGGCAGAGGTGGCAGTGGCCTTGGGCAGCAGATTCTGAGAAGGGGCAGCAAAGGCTCAGCAGAGATAGTTGTGGACCTTGCAGCCGCTGTCTTTTCGGTGTGGTGGAAGATGGTGCCGCTGTCCAGCGCCCCAGGAAGACTCAGTGGCCAGCATTGAACTGAGGGGGGAGCATTCTCACTCCTCAGCTCAGGCCACCAAATGTCTCGGTCCAGTCCTGCAGAGGGACCAAGTGCCACAGACTCGCTGTCAGCCATAGCCCTGCTAGTATGCTTAATGACAATTAAAGCCAGCCCTTTCGTTCAAGCATCCTTGTAGAGTTTGATGCCATTGCTCATCTTTGCCTCAGCAGGAGGGACTCATAGAGGGGGAAGCCGAAGCCCTTGCTCCGCTTTTTAAGTGCACCATATGCAAGAAGATTGTCAAGAAACTCAGGGATCTGGCTGGAGATGACCCAGATGATGTGAGTTGCATGTGGATGATCTTGGGATCGGTTTGCCTGAGTGTGGGTGCATGGGGGGTAGGGGGTGTCTTGTAGGAGAGCTCCTGGCCTAGGACAGCAAAATGTATTAGAAATCAGTCGTATACTCTGAGAAGAAGAGCAGGTGTGTTCATTGCTAAAGTGAAGCAGGATTGTTCCTGTGAGACGCTTGGAAGCCACAATTAGGCTCCTACGGGCCTTTTGAAGTGAGAGTAGGCCCACCTGCATGGATGTCGCACACCCCGTGCCAAGGGTGCCAAAGCACTTTCAGCCTTTTGGGGGCTGCATTCCAGGGGTGGGTGGGTGAATAGACAAAGAGGAATTTGACAGACTATATTTCAACAGCATCATCTTCTAATAAAATACTTTTCTGTTATTAAACCTGAGAAGTGACATTTCTGCCTCTTGGCCCTGGATAAATAGGAATGTTCAAAAACTAGCGCTTGTCTGGTAAGTGGAGAAAGCAGGTTGGGTTGCTGAAAGCAGGGCAGAGTAATCTGGAGAATCCCAGAGGGATTGATGTGCGGGTGCAGGAGAATGCAGGAGAATCCGATTTTCCCCTCGGCCTGCAATTGTGCATCCCTGTCCGACATTCTAAGAGCTCAGAGATTTTTCTTTTAGTGAATCGTTTTATGTCGTCTGTGAGTCTGTTCCTTGCATAGCACATGCTGTGTTGAGATTTTTGCTTCCCAAACAAAAAAAGGGAGGGGCCATAGACAAAAGGGAACAGTACCGGATATATTAAAGTCCCTATCTCATTCCGTGGCTTCTCTTACAGGAAAAAGTTGACCGAGCAATAAAAACCCTGTGTAAGGTCCTCGGCAAGTTCCTGCAGGGGCTCTGCAAAAGGTTTCTGAGACTGTACAAGGCAAAGCTGGTGATGGATCTGCAGAATGGCATGGAGACAGATGAGATCTGTGTCGATCTCAAGATATGCAGGCCTGGCATACAGGCACTACCAGGTGAGAGCGAGGGGGCTCCTGGTCTCTTAAGAGGCAGTTTGGGGAGAAGGAAACCAAGCCCCTGCAACCTAATATTCTGCACCTTCCTTTGGGAGAAAGTTCTGTTGAGTTCCCCGGGACCTGCTTGCAAATGAGCATGCCAAAGAACTGCCCTGTCAGGAACTGGGGCGGCAGGCCATGAAGGACATTTCTCTCCTCGCCAGTCGCTCCACACATGGATGAGTTTTCCGCCTGATTGGCAAGGAAGCTCCAAATACAGAGCCAAATTTCCCTTTCCAAGTCTTCTGCACCCAGCGCCTAAGGTGGGACTTTAGCAAGCTTGCTCTTTTTTCCTCCTCAGACCCAAAGCCACTGCAATGGCTTACCTTAAGTTCATAAATGGAAAAAGAGTGAGTCCCAGTATTTTTTTACTTTGCTTAAATGAAGCAAGTATCCAGGGAGACTGGCTGAATACACAGTATGAGTCAGTTTCTGTGAGAACCATCTGTGGTTGAATTTAAAAAAATAGTTTTGCACTTAGAAGGGAGTTGCAGGGATGGGTTTAGCCAGAGTGTATTTTTCCTGTGGTGAAAATTGCCATCCAATGGAGCAGGCTGGACTATGGATGGAATTCTTCATGTTGGAGACACAGCCAAATATCTGAGTGGTTTAAGACAAAGCCAGATATCTCAGCATTAGGGGATTAAGTCAATCAGGTTCCATCCAATTTGCTTGGTTAACTTTATTCCTATGCGAGCTGAAATTCTGTCTCAGGCATCAGCTCTATTGTGCACATATGAGAAGAGACAGAGTGTTTCATACGCTGATCTTAATGATCCATGTTTTGTTCTCTATACCAGGTCTGCCTCACTATTAAACCTCAACAGAGTGAAAACTGGCCCAGGTTCCTTTGGATGCGTGCTGTCTGTTCTTCTGCAAAGCTTAAAGCATTTCCATTTCCGGGCTGCAGCGTTTGCTGTTTTCTTTGAACGACGAAGCAATGCAAGTTTCTGTTACCTTAAATAAAGTGCAGCAGTGAGCTTGTCTCACTTACTTTGTGCACATTTACTTACTTAGCCGTTGTCCAAGGCTGGTTTCATTCTGGCTCTGCTATTTGACTGAATGATGTTTAATTTGATGTACATACTGTCAGATTAAGCATTGCTTCAGCTGTCGTAGGAACTCTGCCTTCTGCTGGGTCAGACTCTCTCCAGCTAGGCCAGTACTGCTTTCTTTGGTTGGCTGCAGCTCTCTGGTAGAAGTCTGCCATTCATCCTGGCAATAGCAGGAATACTACTAGAAGGGATGGAGGACTAGCCAGGACCCTCAGTGCTTTACATCAGGTTGGACTTTGCAATACCCAGCCTGATCCTGTCACTGAAGCAGCTCTGCGGTACCTCAGACAGAAGGCCTTCCCATTTCCTATTACTTATTTCTTCCAGTTGGAGATGTCATTGATTGGATTGTACCTGGAAGCTTCTTCATGCAAAACATGTGCTCTACCCACCGTCCATCAGTTGCCTTTATTTCTTCATCCCTACTTTAAGTAGGTTGCTTATTTAAAAAAAAACACAGTGCCTACTGTACTTTCCATTTGTCCATTAATTTATAGGCACATTAATTTTCTTGGCAACATCCTAAGTTCTGGCCAGTCAATGCAAATGTGCCCAATCCCTACCATCCTCAGCTCTTGGGGAAAAAGTCTGAGTCTCTGGTTCACACATAATGATACCCATGGTTTATTTAAACCCTGGTTGGCTTTCCTATCTAGGGTCCTTTTGGCAAACACTTGAGCAAACTGCAGTTTGTTTCTTCTGTCCGTGGATTGCTTGTTTCCGTCTCATGTCCCCTCCTGCTCTCCCTGTATTCCAACTCCCACTGCAGTTCTATAGTTTGACATGTAGTGCATAGGGGCTTTCTCACCATTCATGCCCAATGCCGCTCTAGACTGCTGAAACAATCCCTGAACAACTCACGGTTCTGGATTCATACGTCATAAACCCATGGGTTAGACAACCTAGAGTTCACAAACAACAACAAATCATGAGTTCTCTTTCTAGGTCATTTGCTAACAAGTCATGATTCGTTAGCATGACATCCCAGAATTCAGCAACTAATGAGGTTAGCATGATGTGCAAACCAGGTCAGTCGAGACACTCAGTCCTGTCCTGCCACTTTAGAACTGTTGTGCCTGACTTCACGCATGGTTTTGCGCTCATCTCATTGTCATTGTCCAAGCGTTATTATTTCTCACTAGGTCTTTTATTGCTGGAACACTAGCAGGGCACTGTACTCCTAGTATTAGTTGCCATCACCACACTCTACCAGTTTCCTCCCAGTTCTTCAGTCTTCCTTCTCATCACCATGTGTGATGATGTAACACAAAGATTTGTAGTCAATATTTCCAGCCACATCAATGGGAGCTACAGCAAACATCTGGTCCACCTAGAGGAGAAGCAACAGAAAGAAGAATGTGGTATTGTGCTTAACAGATTGAAGCTGACAACACTCCAGGGCTCTGGAATAGGAGATTTGGGGGTTCCTGCCACTATCAAAACCTTACCCTTTGCTTAAAAGTATCTCAGCCTTAAAGTTAAGTAAGCTCAGAGCTTTAAAAAATCTTATGGACAAAACTTCATTAAAGTGTCTGTTATGGGCTCTAAAACAAGGGTGGAGTATCTCAGTCACAGGGTCAAATCCAGCCTGCCTGAACTCCCTCTAGAAATTCCCAGCCTTTCACACAACCACAGATGGTTTGGTGGTTTTCTGGCATTTGTTTCCTCATTCTAAAAGGATGAAATGTGCCTCCTTAGCTGCTGGCAGAAAGAGCTTTAAGCTAAAATACGTTGGCACCTTTGGTACTTTGGCCCCACCCCATGTGACTTCGGCCCCACTTTGCCCCCAAGACCCTTTTTGAAATGGAATTTGGCCCTTCACCTGAAAGAGGTTCAACACCCCAATCTAAAAAATACTAAATGATTCATGAGTGCTGGTTGAGTTAAGCTATGATTATTTATCTGTTTATCTAATCCATCTATCAGCAAGATGGCTTGGATTTGGCATTTGGCATGGTTTTGGTAGATGGCTTTATGGCCAAACACAATGATACATTAAGGAAAGCCTACTTTTAATTAAAGTGTCTACATTTTAATTGAAAATAATGGCTACAAGCATCCCCATCCTCCATCTTTGCAATCAGGATAAAGACTGTGATACAAAGCAGGGCAGGTTAACTTTGTCTTAAGGTTGGTTCTTAAGGTATAGCTGTCCTGGCTTGTAGCCATCAGTGGCCTTATCCACTAGGAATGTGTCTAATCCTCCTTTAAAGCCATCCAAATTGGTGGCCATCATGATCACTTCCAGGAGTGAATTCCAAAAGTTAATGACATGCTGTGTGAAGGAAAACATTCCAGCCAGTCTGGCACACCAAGAATTGTCTCACCTCCTCAGGAGAGAACTTGTCTGCCTGAGTCATCAGGAGTTGTTTAAACCTGGAGATCAAATTTTACAAACAGAGTCAGTGTTGTTCAAATACACCACCCAGACCTCTGATCTGGGCTCTGTTAGACAAACCAAACTGCAGCGACTATGGAAAGGAGTAAAACCCAGGCAGTGGACAGTGGAGTCTAAACGTACTCATCTTTGTTCACAAAGCCAGTTGCATTTGGGTCAAACAACTTGAAGGCAGCAAGGATGGATTCCTCTGGGTCGGTGCCTATAGAAAAAGAGTTGCTTAGCAGAGAGCAGTAACCCTTGAGGTCCTTAGTTGCAGAAACATCTCCTTACCATTCAGTTTTTCCCCAAACAATGTAAGGAAGACAGTGAAGTTAATTGGCCCCTTCCCTTCTTTCAGCATGTCTTCCAGCTCCTCATCCTTGACATTCATTTTCCCTGTAGAGAGAAAGGAAGATCCCAATAAGTCCATTTCTAGCTGAATGCCTCTCTTTGTATTTTCTGCCAAATTCAGCTCAAGAACCGCTCTATCACCAAAGATCCTGTTGTCTTTCCACAAAGCTGAAGGCCAACCCTCCTTTTCCTTCTCCTCTTCCTCCAGGGGAGCATCATACAAAAGGAGGAGATACCCCACAGCACAAAAAAGATGCATCAGGAGAGCTGCACAAAAGGTACATCTACAAATGTATAGGCATAGATGCAAATTTGGAGCAAATGACTACAGCACGAACACCTGACCAAAGCGGTGAGTGCTGCATACAGGTGCCTGCCTAGCTGGCTGTGTGAGGGCTTAGCTGTCCGTAGAGTGTTCAGCCTCATTCACTCCTGCATGCCCCAATCATGATGGGTGAACATGCAGCATCTGGGCTGGTTGAGGCTCTCTTGATTCTTCCTCAGAGCTCATTTTACCTTCTGTGCATTGTCAAATGTGAGCATCTGGAGGGGAGAGTTCCCATTGGGAAAAAGGGCATGCTGAAAAGCATCCTTTTATTCATTTCATTTCTGTACTGCCCAATAGCCAATAGAGGTGCACCTGGCACTGAGTTTATATTCGTTTTGGTGCCAGATTAAAATCTTTTTATTTAATTTCTATTTTTAAAAAAATAGTATTTTAATCATTTTGAACAGTCACTTTGATTTTGTCTTTTATGTAAACTTTTATTGAATTATGTTATTTATAAATGTGAACTTACTGTATTTCAGTTTTATGTACTGTGAGCCGTCCTGAGATGCCAAGGCATAAGGGACAGTGTACAAAAGTTTTAAATAATAATAAATAAATAATAGCCAAGACCCTTTCAGCAGTTAACAAAAGTTAAAAACACACTAGCAAGAAAGAAAGAAAAAATAATATAAGACAATAAAAGCACAGCAATTGCAAACAAATCAGCACGGCAGCAGTACAAGATAAAATGCAATATTAAAACTGAAGTTTAAAAGTTAATTGTTAAAATACCGGGAAAATAAAAAAGTTTTCACCAGAGTGCAGAGTGCAGTTGCATGACAACTGGCAACTTACCAAGTTGAGCATATGTCTCTTTCAAATCTGATTTGCTGATAATGCCATCCCGATTCTGGTCAATGCAGCTGAATGCCTTGGGGAAAGATGCATTAACATAATCCTGTTGCTCTCCCTTGACTTTAATTTTTGAGTGCTACTATAATAAGAACATGAACAGTCATTACAAATATTTCCCCCCTCCTATCCCAGCCTTGCTGTTATCTTTCAAGTGACTGTGACATACATACCAGGATTTGAGGGGTGGGAGTGGGGGCATTTCCTGCATCTGAAAGTTAAACCTGCATTGGATGTTTGTTTAAAAATTAGTTTTCTTATTTCTACTTTTCATTAGTATTATCTACAAGTGGCACTTCCTGGATAATAGGTAGGAGTGAACAAAAATACGAAGAAAGGGACATAGAAATATCCTACACACATAGCTAGGTCAGAACTGGTTCAGTGCAGGGTCACAAGAATGCTGGCAGGATTGGGAGGGATGACATATGAGGAGAGATTGAGGGAACTGGGTCTTTTCAGCCTGGAGAAAAGGAGACTCTGAGGGGATCTTTTAACGACCTATATGTGTGTGAGGGGATGTCATGGGACATGCCTGTTGAGCTGCTTGTGCTGAGCTGCTTGCCAAGTGGAGTGGAGGCAGATGCTTCTCCGTTTTGCCACCAAGCCCAGCAGCGACAGGGGAAGTGTCCCCTCCATCCTGTTCCCCACCCTTGCTTGCAACAGTGCCTGATTGTTACAACAGGTGAGGTTGGTGTGTTTCCTTCTGGGGAGGCCTAGCCAAGGTGCCCCTTCTGCACACCCACTGAGTCATGGGGAATCCACTTTTACCAAATACGTACATGAGATACAAGTTGGACACAAGCTGAATTAATTCCTTTGGATTAACAAGAAGGACATATTTGCTAAGAGAGCTAGTTGGGTGCAGTAGTTAAGAGCATGGGGCTGGGACTCGGGAGATCTAGATTCAAGTTCCCACTCAGCTGTGGAGCTCCTGGGAGATTTTTGGCCAGTTACTGACTCTTAGCTTAAGCTACCTCGCAGGAGTGCGATGATGATAAGATGGAAGAGATGAGGACCCTGTAAGCTTTAAATTCCCTCAAGAGGAAAAATGGTGCAACATAAATATAATGAGTTTTTTTTAATTGTCCACAGCATCAGATTCCCTCACTTCCTTGAATTCCTGGATCTGTGACTGCTCGAACATGGAGAAGACATTAGAGGATCCCCTCTGGGCACGCTTGGCAGCAGCTTTGCTTCGGGTCCCAGCTTTTCTGCTGGCCTGAAAGAAAAGGAGTCAATTAGAACACCTGGGATCCTGCTGGCCTCTTAAGCTTAACAAGGATCCCAAAGTTTTGACTGGGTGAAGGATGAAAGGGACAGTGTATCTTCTGTCTGTGCATCTGTTCAAGAAATATGACATGCGTGCAGAGAAACCTCATGCATGGTTACTGCGTTCAGTGGAGCTTACTCCCGAGTAAGCATATTAAGAATTGCAGCCAAATGCTGTATTGCATGACTTCTTACTTATGGGGGATTACAATTCAGGAGACATACATTTGAATAAGTACACACAGGATTATGTGGCCAACCTGGATGGTGGATACTTAACATTATGAGGGGTCAGAACTGCTGGCCCAGACAAATAAGGCTTTTTTCAGTCACCTGCTCTGGATTCTGTACATTTTCTTTGGCATTGCCTATTTTGTGCCTGAATCTCAGCAACAGAACAGTTGCTTAATGAAAACACAGGAACACACTTCGGAATGTTTTGTAAGCTGCCTAGGAAGGCCTCGGCAATTATAGACTACCTATAAATACACGAATGAATAAATAACTGTTTAATAAGCATTTCCTCTCACAAATGATTTGACCAGGCAAATTACAGAATTGCTGCAATTCATGCTCTTTTATACTTCCATGCATTCATATTTAATTGGAAATTATCCCAATGCGTTCAAGGGGGCTTTCTCCCTGTTACTGTGTTTAGAGCTGCAGCCTTAACAGCAATTACTGTCTGCATGGGTGGGATCTAGAGAGGAGCAGAATTGGAAGAGGAGCCGTGCATTTGCCTTTGTGTCTGAGGGCAAGAATATAAACCCATCTGTATAGAGTCCGGAACCACCTGGGCCACTCAGAGAATTCACAGAGAGAGCTGAAACCTGCAAAACTTGGAAGCAAAACTGTCTGTGCAGATTGAATTTTAAAAAAGCATCTCTCACCCCAGTATCTCGGCAATAGACATAACAGAACAAAATCAAGGCTATGCACCAGAAAATGATCGAGTGCTTAGTAAATGCAATGGAAGAAGAACAAGAAAAAGAAGAGGAAGAAGAGCAAAAATCATATCACATATGCAAGACACTAATATGTCAGGCAGAACAAAGAGAACATGACATTCAAGCTGACTGTTGTCTTGTTGCAGCTTCCCCTACTATTCCAAAGGTGCATTGCTCTGGAGAAATGCAACTAGTCCCAGTTTTCACTTGGATATTAAATCTGCACAGCCACCCACTGGGTAAGTATCGTTCCCCAGTCTTGTCTTGTCTTGTCTGCATGCAGAAAAAGATCATTGCTTGCCTTTTTTTATCCTATAGAGCACTTAAACAGGGATGCATGTTTGCTGCGGTTCTGGAAGAGAGACAGTGTTTCAGTTTTCAGGCAGAACTGTCCCAAAAGCCTTCCGGTGCCAGGCTTTGCAGAAGCAGCAACGGACTGGGTACTCACCATCTTTGGTGTCCTCCTGAAGAACCAAGAAGGTCTGGCTGGTGTCACGCACAGGCTCCTCAGACTATATCGGGCGGCTTATCGCTTGGGGAGCCAAATCAGGAGCTCAGCAGCAGGAGAGAACCAAACTTGGCAGCAGCCGGCTTAGATAATTGATAAGGCTGAGCACTCTGTAGTCACGTGCTCCGTTCTAAACAGGTCTTTCCACTTTGCTTCTCTGTGCAGCAATGTTATCGTCACTTTTTAGGCCTGTATCTAAATGAGGCCTTTGTGTGCATGAACTGTGCATGTAAGTCTGGTTTTTGTTACCTTTGCTTGCTTCCTTGCCATTTTTCATGAGAAAATGTTCCAGCAGTCAAGTCCTAAATTTAAGCACATCCGTGTCTGTTGAAATCCATGGCTAAAGACACTACGTAGGAAGGGACTCTTGTACATTTTGGGGCATGCTCTTATTAATAGCTTAGAATGCTGATTTCAGTTCACTGGGGATTAAAACCCAGAGTTCCTATGTAAAATTTCAAGTCCATATTCCTTATTTTTAAACACAAACACACTTGCCTGCTTTCTTCCTGTGTTCTGGTTGCTCATGCACATCTATAAAACTATCTTTTAAAGGGTCAGGCCACGTGCCCATCTAGCTTGGTATTATCTACTGAGGCTCTCAGTGTCTGTCTCATCACCTCCTACCCAATCCGTTCAGCTGCAGATGCCAAGGACTGAAAACACGTTTGGCATGGCAAAGGTGAAGTCCACCACCAAGCTGTGCAGCAGGATGTCCTGCTGCTGAGGCACTCCGTGCCCATTTGAATCCAGCTTATAATGCCATAGGATTTCGCCTGTTGTGCTTTACCAAAGCACCTGCTCTTCTGTACAACAAATCATTTTCTCTTTTTATGCAGTTCCTGCAATCAGTTCCATGGACTGCAGGGTGCCCATAGATGACAGCCCTCTCTCCGAAGTCGTCTTTTCTTTTGGCATTCTACAATCTTCAGGTATATTTGGACTTTGCCCACGCTGGCTAGAGCTGATGGGAGTCATGGTTGGAAATGTCGGGAGTTGAGGGTACCAGCTTGGGGAAGACTGCATATGAAAGGCTACCTAGTCCAAGCCCATCTTAAAGGCCTTGAAGTTGCCCATCAGCAGTTAGTGCCTGGACAGGTAATTGAGCAAGCCCCCAGGCCACTGGCTGTCAGTCTTCCTCAGTAAGGTGGGATCTGTATTATTTATCTGTTGAAATTTGTATATAAATAAGCAGATACAGATTTTGTGCTAATCTATGCACTCTTTTGCCCTCTTGTCTTTCTTTGCAATGCTTTTCTTTTTTTCTTCCTTTCCTTTCCTTTCCTTTCCTTTCCTTTCCTTTCCTTTCCGGCAATGCATATGTGGCCACCCTACAAAAGCAATGCTACAGATTAATACCGCATCTCATGGCATTCACATATTTAAAATACCCTGTAGGTCAGGCTTATATCACTACCATCATTTTGTATAATGATACCTATAAGTTTTAAAAACACATTTGGTCACATTCCTGTGTACACTTACTTGGAAATAAGTTCTTCTGAACATTGGGGGGAGGGGCTTATTTCTGACTAAATAAGCACAAGATTACTCTATTTATTTCTCTGATCTGTAATTCCTACATTACAATGCAAACCAAACCATAACACATGAATGAATGTTAGTAAGCAGAACAGATGCAACCAAAGCAAACTTTACAATGGTTTGAATTTTTTATTCTTATTTTTTAATATAAAAGTGCCCTTGTATCCATGAACAGGATAGCAGAAGATAGAGAAAAAGGAAAACAGGATAGAGGGAAATAAACTATATCGTGGCATTGGGAAGAGAGAGAGCATCTGGGTCAAATAACCAAGGTCAACGGGATGGGACTTGTTGCAGAGGTAAGTAATGTTCCAGATGTTACATCTGAAAAACAGCCTTGTCTGTGCAGACATCATGTACAAAAGATTTCCTGAACATGCTAGAAAACAGATGTGCTGTTTTGCATGTCTGTGCAGGTCTCAACGCATAAGGTGTGTGCTTTGTGGCAAAACTGTACTTATCTTTACCATCAAGTTGCGGCAGCATGTTTTCCTGCATCTTCATTACCCCATGGTATCAGAATGCTGGACTCAATCAGTCCCTGCTCTGATTCAGCATGGCTCTTACGAGTAATTCCTTTGTCAACTTTCTTGAGACCCTGTTCAGTTACATGTCCCCTCTGTGTTAAGTATAATTAATTCTAAAACATGACATAAAGCTCATTCCTGACAGCAGTCTATATGAAATCGACATTTAGTCCAGGCTTAAATTCATGCTTAACCATCAGGAAAGCATCAGAAGTTAAAGGAAATCTTATTTGTCAGTTGGGTTCCTAAGCTTATAAGCATAATCCTTTGGGCACAAGTTGACATACACACACCTGTTGAGGAACAGCTGGTAAAAAAAATATATATCAGTGTCTTGGTAGCCAGGGGGGATTAATTATGTCTACCCTGAATTCTTCCCTGACAATGGCAGTCATATTCTGCAACCTACAATTGATAAAGATGACACATCTGTCTTTTCCCCCTCCTGACTGGTTGAGAAAAACCAGTGGTACAGTTAGGAAAAGTTAGTTCTTACATTTAATGCTTGCAGTCAGTCCTTACACTCTCAACCTCCTTCTTTGAATGGTAAGATGCATGACTTCATTCACTTCAAAATGTGGGGAACCAGCCCTGCTTTGTTTGGGGCCCCTCTTCTCAACCTGCCCCAGACATCTGCCCCGAATTCCTGCCCTGAGAGCGCCACTGGGAGACATGGTATCATTTATGCCAATGAGACGCTATTTTGTCCAGATCCCTTCTTCTTGAGCATATCAGGAAAGAAAAAAACATCTACATTTAGTCCCTTCCCAGCCCTTCTCTCTCCCAGCCCCATGCCTAATAACTATGTAAAACTGCTTATTACATAAACTGAAGCCCCCACAGACATTGCAGTAGTGGAGGAGGTTTTAAGAACAGAAAGGAGAGGCTGCAGTTTTGAATGGTTATTGCATTGTCTACTAGTAGAGGCTAGGAGAAGTCCCAGTCTCGCTCCTTCCACCCGTCCCTCCCCTTCCGTCCGCTGGTTGTGCTCCATGGCACCCTCTAAAACGACTCAGCCTAGCCACGGGGTAAAGCGTGACCCAAGCAGGTGGCTTCTCGTTCACAGTCCTCCGCCAGTGCCGTTTCACTGGCCGATCATGCAGGCCATTTTGCACGCGACTGCTGAGATCAGAGCTGCCCCTCTGCCGCTGCCTTCCTCCGACTGTAGGAAAGTGATGTCACAGCCCGGTGTGAGTTGCCTGACTGTTGTGTGAAACCGATCTTTGAAACTAGAGAAGAGAGAGAGAGAGAGAGATTAAGACAGAAGATCTGGCACCTAAAGGACTCCCTCTCTCTACATGTGCCATCTATGCCTTGAAATCTTCTTCAGAAGCCCTTCTTTGAATGCCCCCTGAGTGGCATTTAGCAGAAGCAAGGCCAGCACCAAAATTAGGCATGGTTGGGCATCTGTCAAGGGTCCACACCAAAGCAGGAGCCCATGAATTCATGATGCCATTTTTCAAGGGGCCTCTGCTCATGTGCTAAGAACCCAAGGGGAAATCCATCATCCTGTCATCGTGCACCTCAAAGGCTGTCACAAAGAAGACCAAGATCTCTTCTTTCTGATGCCAGAGTGTAGGACACAGAATAATCAATTCAAGTTGGGACAACCCAGATTCAGACTGGACATCAGGAGAAGCTTCCTCACTCTCAGAGCAATACAGAAGTGGAACCAGCTGTCTAGAGAGGTGGTGGGCCCTCCCACACTGGAGACATTCAAGAAGAAACTGGATAGCCATCTGAGTGGGATGGTGTAACCTGATGTCCTGCAACAGCAGGGGGTTGGACCTGATGGCCCTCATGGCCCTTTCCAACCCTAATATTCTAGGATAAGCCATGGGAAACATTCCACAGTTCACAACCCAACAACAAACCATAGGTTCTCCTCATGGATTTTTCATGGTTCAATGTCCATGGGTTCAGCCAACATAATAATTTACTTTTCAACAACAGCCCCGTTCAACCTATACCTAATGCTTGAGTGTAAGTTACTGCAGTTCCCAGACCCAGTCCATCAGAATGGTTTGCCTTGAGGCAAAGCCTCTTAAGACCTGAGAAAGGGCAGTCAGTGACATTCAGGAGATATGACTGAATGGGAGCAAAGATTGCATGAGAAAATGTTAGAGTGGAACCAGCTGCCTAGAGAGGTGGTGGGCTCTCCCACACTAGAGACATTCGAAAAGAAACTGGGCAGCCATCTGAGTGGGATGGTGTAACTTGGTGAGCTGCAACAGCAGGGGGTCGGACTCGATGGCCTTCATGGCCCCTTCCAACCCTACTATTCAATGAGTCTATGATTCTATGAAATAGGTGAGGGTGGAGACAATTCATTCTTATTCTTCTCATTAAACCAAAGGGTTTCCTGTGTATAAGCAGGAAACAGAAGCGCGAGCCTGTAGTTTTGGTGAGTGAAACTGGAAGTGACCCAGAGACAGAAGAGTTAATCTGCTGTAGCAAAAAGTCTACAACATTCTCTGGCGCACTTCATGCTTTCGATGAAGTGGACTTTTGGCTGTTAGACTTTAAGATGCCACTGAGAGCTGCTTGAATCCTAGGCTGTGGTAGTCCCCCAGACATCAAATCGGGGAGCAATAGCTGATGGATTGTTTGTGCGGTAATTATCTTTCTTTATGTTCAACTCGCACATGTGTGTAAAAAAACAGCAGATCACAAAACTGTCATAATCCTCTAGTGACCTCAGTTTTCAAGAATACTCACAGCCCTGGTGTTTTGCAACCTTTCTCCTTGTTAGGCAGATTGCATTGCAGGGCCTCTGTGGAGTGGGGGGAGCATGTCCCCTTCCTGAACAGGATCATGTCCACATTTCCACTCTATTTAGCACACTGCATGAAGCATCAGGGACCACCACAGGCTGCGGACGTGCTTTTCGTGGTGTTCAAAGGAGGCAAGCTTTAGTATGAATTCTGAACAGAGACTTGAGGAGTTTCCTTTTCCAGCTATTGTTTTGGACCTCCGGTCTAGCGGCATGAAGTTTGCTGCTACCACAGCACAGGGCTCCTTAATGAGACTTTATGAGGCCAAATAAAAACACAGGTAATTCGCCCCTCCCCTGCTTCTGCTATAGATAGTCAGATATCCTTGGCAATCCCTTCAAACTGCTCGAATAGGCCAAACTTAACCGTTTCTCTCCCAGCTGCTTCCTGCTGCACAAGCGATCCAGATCTGGATTTGCAAAGGTAAACACATCTAGAATCTTATGGGTGGGGGGCAGCTCAGCGGTGTTACAGCATAAAACAATAGGAGCGAGAAGAATCAAACTTGTACATGCACATGCATGCCAGGGTTCCTTGTTGAAGCTACATTTCTACAGACAAATCCATCGCTGGGATTTGAGAGTGAAATCTTCAGTAGACTTACCTGGGAGTAAACTCCATTGAATTCAATGGGGCTTTCTGCCAAAAAGATAAATAGAGGACTCCACAGTGACACTTCCCAGCTTGCCCCTGGCAGCCATTCTGACTGGGTCATGTTGGGAATGGGACAGGTTTTTTCTGTGGACCTCAGAGAGCACCTGGAGCAGAATTTATGCCCCCTCTCATTTGTACCCATGGAAACAACATAGCAGTTGAGCTGGTAGCTCATTAATGACAATGGCCACGAATTTCTCCAGGACTTTTGATCTTTAAAACACTGCCTTTGCTTTAGTGGATGGCTAGCTTATATTTCACTGAGACTGATTTCAGCCTGAGCAAACTTGATCTGCTCTTGAGGTGGGAAAAAATGGCCCCGTTTGTGATGATCGTTATGATTTATTGTTCAGTTCAATACCTGTCTCTTGACTATAGACATCTTGCAAAAGAAACTAAAACCATGCAATATTTTAAACAATTTGTTGTCTCCTTCCTCTAAAATAGACATGTCATGAGTGGAGCCAGCTGGAGCTGGGGGTCAGACTAGATGGCCTGGGAGACCCCTTCTGACTCATTCAGTTTCCGTGTTTCTAAATCTTAGAGTTGTAAAGGACAAAAAGCCCTCCTTGCCAAATTCTTTACCAAAGGGCAAAACCACCCATTTCCCAGCCCACCAAAGATGTATGCCTATACAATCTGTATCACAATGGACCATGTGAATCTGCCACTGAAAGGTGGCCGTGGATCCTGGAAATATACGCCATAAGAAATGGCATGCCGCAGGGGAAGGGAAAAATAATACAAAAGGTTCCCTCTGTGGCCATGAGCTGGGCCGTGGCTCCACAGGCGTCTCTAGTCAGTATACCTCCATGCTTCCCAGTGGCTTTACTCTATGGCAGGTCCCAATGCCCTTGTGAGGGACTCCTTCTGACACCTGTAGAGTATAATTGAGGAGGACAAATGATAATAAAAACGCTCTCGTAGCATCTCCACAACTGTCCAGTTCTGTCTTAACCCCAGCAAAGTCCACTGTCTCCACAACTGTTCTAGGGAGACCATTCCAGATGGCCACACCTTTCATAGTGAGCCACTTATCGGTGGATCATTCAGACATTCAGTTTGTCTCAAGACCCGTGTGATGGCGGGCCCGGGCAGGCCTCACCTGGGATGCAGCTTGTAGACGGAGCCATCGACACCCACAGTGATCTTCAGTGTCTCCTCACTCCTGCTGTCCCTCATGCGGTTGATGACGCCGGCCAGCCCCGCGGAGCACATCTGTGCAGCTCGTGTGGAAACACTCTCACAGGCCATGCGGACAATATCACAGTCTGTTACTGAGGGCAAGAGCCCAAAAGATGTCAGGATGTTGTAAATCTGCTTATGGTCACCGGGGTCGCTAGGAACGACAAGCATGAGAGTTCTCACTTCAGTTTCCATACTCATGACGGACATGTTGAACAGTCCAGGCCTCAATGGGGAATCAGGACCAGGAGGCTATGGCTAATCTGCATACTTTAGATCATGCAGGAGAGCATTTGTGAATCCGCTTGGCGGATGCGGAGTGGAGAGTGATGCCATTGGACCCGAGGAGGCCAAGGGCTGAGGAGGGGCATGCCATGGCTACCACCTTGAGGATGGCTTTCCATGAACTCCACAGGTTGGGTTTCAGCTTGCAGCGTGTGCAGCAACCTACCACAGCGGTATCAGCCCACTTCTGCAATGCCACTGCCACTATTTTAATTTACTCATTGCTACAAATCCAAGTTTTCAGAGAGAACCACGTGGCCTCACCATCACTTGCGTTCAGGCCTTCAAAGCCATCAATGCAAGACATTCTGAAGACAATCGACTGTTCTTTGACACTGTTTATTATGGCACAGATTCCTCTTGATTGTATCCCACACCACCACCTCTATAGCCATCAGGGCTGGAAAGCGTTAAGAAAGTCTTGGAATACAAATATGCAAGGAACACAGAATGAAGCACTCCCCCAGGAAATACAGTTCCTCCTCCTTTTGCTTCTTGGTCCAAAAGTTGGGACAGAAACATTTTAAATAACTACCAAAAAATGATACCTTTCAATCTGTGAGATGAAACGCGTCTCAAAAGATCCTCTGGTTTTCAATTTCTCTGAAGCTTCTCCATTGAAGAGTAAGTTCTCATTGACAAGTTTCAACAGCACGAGTCGTACAATCTCCCCCATGTACTTCCCTCCTATGATCTTCTCATACCTGGGGAATGGGAGGGGGATTAATCAGCCTCATAGAATGGGAGGGGGATTAATCAGCCTCATAGAATGGGAGGGGGATTAATCAGCCTCATAGCTGTGAGTGCACAGACAGGTGTGAGCATGTGAGTGAGTGAAGGAAAATCAGAACACAAGACATAAACATCATTATTTCTTCGAGGGGAGGCACAACTTGTCAAAGGAAATTGTCGTGGTTTGTTTTAACAAAACCTGCTCATGTATGAAGACTGATTGCTGGACAAGAGCATTGGGCATTTTCTCTGAGCTGCAGGAAAACAACTATGCTGGACTCTGCACATTTCTGTCAGTAGCAAATGAATGCAAAAGCATATTAGTCAATGGTATCTCAGAGGACTGCACTTCTAGGATACATGCTTCTCTTAGCCAGACCAAGGAGCTGGACAACTACCAAGCCAAGAAAGTACGTATAACACAGGAGTATCAATGTAGCTCCTAACCCTGGATTCCATCCATACTCCCCATAAATTCCCTAAGGTGTGACAAACCGGTCTACAGATCCCTGTGGCTCTTCTTAATATTAATGCTAATAGAGCTGGGAATTTCTCAGTAGATGCAGAAGACCCATAAGCTGGGCCTGGCTGATAGGGCCAGCCTAAAGCATCCATAGTAGCTCACTAGGTCTATCCTGCTATTAGGCAGAGTGCAGCAAGCAACTCAGGTGGCAAGTGCTAGGGACTGATAGGGCCGGGCTACTAGTAATTCCTCATGAAATCTCTGATGGCTGCCTTCCTTGGCCCCTGCCCTTGGTCCCTATGCCAGCCTGAAGCCTCAGGGCACACTGCAGTGCTGAAGTATGTCTCAGCTTCAGTCCAGTGGCTTTTATGAACAGGATGGGCGGCAGACGCCATCTTGTCCTTCACCACAGACAGCCAAGTCTGGGCTAGCCCTGGCAGGGCAAACGCAAACACACACGGAGACACCTGCCGTCTGTTTATTCAAGAGGAGAAGTGGGAAGCCCAGGAGAGCAAAAAGCAGTCACGTTAACTTTATCTGTCAGATTCCTTACAGCTGCTGACCGGGGTTAAGCGAGGTCTCATCCACCACACGATCATATTCCAGGAGGAACTCGTCCAGTTCTCCTGATGCCCCAAAGGCTCCCCATTCAGTATTTACACACATCCGACCTTCATCCCCTTCCACCAGCTCCACATTCTGCATCTCCTCCATGTAGCAAGCATTGCAGCCTGTGCCTGGCAGGACATAAATGCAGAGAGATTCTCCGTATAAGTCATAACACAAGTTTCAGAGCAGTAACGTGCCATTATTATTGTTCCCTGCACATGCAATTGGATCCATTTTATGTATTTATTTGCCTTAAAGCAGCTATTGTGACTCCAATTTGACTGGAACAGTAGGAGATATTGATGCTTCTCAATGGTGGTAAATCTAATTTGGGGATGGATATGAGCGCCTAAAGTTGAGAATAAAATCCACAATGGAGCCCCACTAACATAGAGATCATCAATCCCTCCTCCAGATAGAGCCTTCAAAAGGAAAAAAATATTCCCATCCTAAGCATAGGTTAGTCTTCTGAAAAAAAAAATGCCAGTAATCCAGCTGTACATTCTAGCCCATGTACATTTCGCAATCACATTGCAAAAGGCAGTAGTACAAAGCGTGCTGTTGCCTCTTTTGTGAACACCCTTTTTTGCCTTTATGTAAACACTCCTTTGTCCTTTTCCCAATATTTAATCAACCAAAGCAGGGACATTTATCCCTTAATTTTACTAGAGACATACTTATATAACTCCCCGTGTAAATTAACGCTGCCATAATTATGTCAATATGGAAACGTGCTTTGATAAAGGCAGGCTTTGGGGCTGTCCTCAGGCTATACAAAATGCATTCCCAGAAGCCCACAAGGAAGTAACACTGTCTGCATTAAACACCTGAATGGTTTTTAAGCATTCTTTCCAGGCCACCTGCATTACAAATTATTCCTATAAAAAATAGTGTGCCAGAACCCTTGCTTTGGATATGTTCTGGCACATCCTCTCCTCGCCTGCCTATTACAGGAAATGTCAGCAAACGATGTTCCCCAAATGTTATTCACTAATCTGGACAAGAATGACAGGGACTTGTTTTAATTTTAAATGGACCCAAAAGCTGAGAATGTTAACAGCCAAGACCTCTTTTTAACTGGTGCCTGCCAGCCGCAATCTAAAACCTGTATCAGTCTCCATAACTAAGCAAATCAGGTCCAGAATACAAAGAGTCCTGGGAAGGGACCACAACTCAGAGCACATGTGTTGCATGAAGAAGGTCCTAGGCTGAGTCAGAAGGATGATGTTGCAGGTGATGAGAAAGGACTTTCTGCACCTGAGAGAGATGTGGCCAATCGGAGGAGACCGGACTCTCCAGACTGGGCCCCTCTGATGCTGGGCAGTGAAACTCCCAGAAGCCTTAGCAGCACAGCTGATAGTCTGGGAGTTTTCACGCAAAAATTCTGGGGAGCACCAGGCTGGGGAAGTCTGGAGGAAGCAATATTGGTCTAGATGGACACAGTCCCCAACTCAGTATAAGACACCACCTTACGTTCCATAAAAAGCTGTCCTCAGGGTCAGCAAACAAGGCTGAACACTCTGGATGGCAGCAGTTTTGCCCAAGGTACAGGATCTGAGATGGACCGGGGACTTACCGACTATCATGCCGACTTCACATCGGTGGTCCTCATAGTAACAGGAAATCATGGTTGCCACTGTGTCATTGACCATTGCAACCACATCCATCTCAAAGTCCTGTAGAAGGTTGGAAGAGACCCTGTGATCCATGAGGCTGCTCAGGGAAAGGAAAACCAGCACAGCAAAGGGGAGCACATATGCAGCGATCATGCAACAGAACAGGAGGGTATACTCAAAATACCCTTGTGGAGTTGGAAGTAAAAGACATCAGCTGTTTTATCACGTCCCAGTAACTTACTGTAACTATTAGCTGCTTCAAAGAGATTTTAAATTCCAGATCTATGGATTTTATATTTAGTTTTTCTTATGTTGTATTTTAGGGATAAAATTTTTGTGAAACACCTATAGAACTCTGGTTATTGGGCAGAATAAAAACTGGACCAATGGAATGCAAGGAAGGATTTGGCTAATGTGTGTACGACTTGTTCTCTTCAGTCCTCCCCAAATATGACGCACAAGAGGAATCAAAACTGGGACTTTCCACTCCACAGAAAAGAAGAGTTGCTTTCCCTCTGTCTCACTGGGCTTTAAAATGGCCATTCTACCACCCACCCTCCAGATCCAGAGTGTGGGAACTGAAGAGTGACTATTCAGCGATGCTCAGAGGAATGGTTCCTTGGGTTCAAGACTATTTCTCTGATGGAGACAGGACCCGGAAACAGCCATGTTTAATCTCTGGCAACTCCAGCTAAAAGGAGCAGGATAAGGAAGATTCTGCCTGAGATCCTGGAGCAGGGCCAGTCCTAGATATTTGCTGGCTGAAGGGAAAACCAAAATGGTGCCTACGGCTTCCTTGAACAGAAATTGACTGCCAATCATACTTATGTCAGTGCTAATGAAGAGACTATGCCCCTGCTATGCTTAAGGTGCACACAGCTCTGACTGGAACCATCTCACGCCAATTCCAGCCTGAGCTGGTCAGCTAAGCCTGGCTTATGTTGGGGCTTTTCCTCTGAAGAGCTGCTGCCAGTTGGACCAGTCCAGACTTGACTAGATGGAAAAATAGTTTGGCCTAGTACAAAGCAGCTTCCTCTGTCCTACTGCAGACTCCTGTTCTCCTACTGAAGAGAATTAATATATTGAAAATAATTCTATTTTCACCTTACCCCTCTCCTTTTGATAGCATCCCTCAGAAGACCCACTACATTGTTCCCTTCAGCTCCTGATGCTTTGAAGCCTTTGGTCCAATTCAGCAAGATCCCCTACAGAGCAAGAGATGAAAAAGGTCAGACTAGATGTCCCGAAACGATCATAATAGAGCTGGTCAAATGAATCCCATTTTAGGCTGATGTGGTTTTTCTTTTTGAAAATCCAGGAATGACAAGTGGCAAGGAAACACACAAGACAACAATTGGGAAGATGGGCAGGTCTAAGCAATTGGAACTAGAATCATCAGAATTATTGTTATCAACCATTTTTATTATAATTGTTTAGCAGACTCTCCTCTGACCTAGCTCTTCAGTCTACCACACCACTGAAGGATCTGGCAGAAGGAGCAGCTTGAGTTCCTATATTCTGTGAGCTTTGTCGTAAGCAGTTCTCTACCTCAAACGAGCAAGTCTTACAGGAAGGAGTGAATAAAGGCCACAGCAGGAAAAATCCCCAAATCAGATCCCACCTTATCGATGTCTTCATGGCGAACAGGGAAGGAAAATGTGAAGCCCAAAGGTAGCTTCTTGTGCTTCATCTGATGTTTGTCAAGGAAGTCAGAGATGCATTCTGAGATGTAATCAAAGAGCTGGGAAAGAAATACATTAATATTCCCCAAATGTTTCCCTTCAGGTTTTGTAATGTGCCTTATTCAAGAGTTGCCAAGGAGGGGTTCCGGCACAGAATGCAATCCAGCACCTTCGAGGAGTGAGATGTGAAAGAGGGCAGCACTTCTATGCACAAGGAGACACCTGATGCAAGTTACAGAAGAAGCGCTGTCCCTTTTTGCATCTGGCCAGTCCGTAGAACCTCTAAAACCATATTTTCTCTAGATGGAAAATAATTTTTTCAGGAAAAAATATTCCTAGCTCCACATCTCTATCATTATCAGTCACACTTTATGTTTATGCTCCTTTTGAAGCTCCCAAAGCAGTATTCAACCAAAGTAAAATACAGTTAAATAATCATTACAATCCATTCAAACATCTGGAACACTCTGTTAACTATTGAGTTTATTCTGTTGACTGGGGTGCTCTTGAATATTTATGGCCCAATCATTGTGGCAAAATTGCTGCAGCTTATTCATGGCAATGCACAGGAGGTTCAGCCTCCATCGTCAATCCCTTGTAACGCTTTGGTGTTTGCTCACCACTTCGTCACTCTTTTCCCTTAATGCAGAAAATCAATTAAGAAATAGTTGCAAGTTAGTACTCGGAAGGACCTTTCATGCACTTGGAAGATGCATTTCTTTTTTTTAATTTAAGAGAATGTTTCTTTAAGTAGAACACTTTGTCTTGTCCTACAGAAGTGGAAAGTGAGAGAAGCAATAGACTGGATATTTTTGTAAGGGACATGGGCGATTTACTATCACCAGATAAAAGAAAGATTATAATTAAAATGAGCACAACTCATAAGGTGTCCCTTAATTGACTTGAATTAGGTCCCTCAATTGAAAATCACTCTCCACATCCTCTAATTTTAGATGTGTGCGTTCCACTAGGTGGCACTCAACCCTTTAACTCATGCAATTCCATCCCACTTTTGGAATCATGTCTATGCTATCAGTTTGACCAGCAACAAATTCATCTCCTCAGCTAGCAGGATGGGAACGATGTCAAACTCCTTTCATGCCCACTGATGCTCCCTCAAAATTCTCCGCCCCCACAACTCTTAAACTTTGTTCCTTCTACCAAGCATCCAGTTTCAGAGTCTGACTGGGGTGGGTGAAACCATCACAGAGTGGATATGTGGGGACAATACACCTGCTGGGAAAAGGTTAAATGTCGCCCTGCCATCCACCGCTTCTTTCCTGCAAGAAGAGAAGCTACCTGCCCATTCCTGTTTCCCTTACACCACCTACTCATTAATATTAAAAGGAAGCAGGTCAGGAAGTTATATTTCTGCTGGGTAAAGTGTCAGCTCTGATTCATTTACATTCACTATCGTGGAAACAATGTGAAGGAAATTGTGATTACTTACATAAATTGAGGGAATGCCAGGTCTCTTACAGCCCTATAAATTATATCACATAAGCAAATAGCATGGAGTTTTAGAGCCATTTTCACTTAAAGGACATCAGAACCACTCAGCCAATCTGTATTAACAATGTCATTTAAAAGCCCATGGCTTATAGACCTACATGGCATGGTCCAGTTCAACAAAAATTGTTTGCAGATCTCAGATTTCTCTCCATAAGTCAGTCTTGGTGTCATCCCTCCATATCCTTGGGAGTTACTGATGCTGCAGAGTCACAACTAGGAACCCTGCAGCTGGATCTGCAAGCCACTACTTTAATTTTCTTAGTGGTTTGCAGATGAACATATAATTACCTGGGGAAATGTAATGTTGGGGGATTTTAAATGGTGGTTGGCAGAAGAAAGCCCAGCAAAGGTAGTGTTCCCCTTCGAACTTAGAACTGGTCCATCCTTTCTCCCAAATGAGGCCAACCTTTCTTCCACTCTTGATCATTTGCAGATCTTCACCCGAGAAGTAAACCTGTCACTTGGTTCACTTAACCTAATGATCTGACTCACCATTTCAGCTGTTCCTGTCATGGCATCCTCTGGGATGGAATATGTTTGATGCTTTGTCTTCACTTTCCATTGTCTTTCTTCACCTTCACCAACTTTCACCAGCATCACTCGGAAATTGGTACCCCCAAGATCCAGAGATAGGAAATCTCCAACCTCTGCAATCCAGAAGTGTCCCGTTGTTTATTCATTACGTTAATTATTTGCTGTTCTTCCACCATTTACTCCAAGGAGTTCAAGGCAGTATGCATCCTACTCTATAAGGAGGCATTCCTTTCTTCATTTCATCTTCTCAGTAACCCATTGAGGTGTTTTAGGCTCAGAGAAAATGACTGGCCCATGTGAACTTCATGGCTGAAGGGGGTCTGATCCTGGATCTTGGTCAGCATCCTAACCTTGTCCTCACACTGGATGACTAATGCCAAAGTGCCTCCATTTCTAGCTATGCTGGTGTACCTTCTACCTTCTAAAAGAAAGCATATAAGAGAATGATGTGGAAAATGGCACATTTGATTTTTTTAACTCCCAAAAGAAATGGCCATCCAATCTGATGTTTATTTTTATCTTCTAAAGGAAGTGACCATCAGGACATCAGTATTATAAAATGTAATAGTTTTTAAGTTTAGTTGCTCTGTTCGTTTTGTACTTTATTGTTTTGTTCTGTTTTATTATTTATTGAAATTGTTGTTTTAATTGTCTTTAATTGTCACGCCACAGAGGGCACTGGCCAGCTAAAATAATTACTAATTTCCAGCAAAGCTACAAGGCCCACAGTGAGCTTGCTTTCAGATTAAATCTGGTCACTGCTGGTCACATTCCACCGCCATTTGCCATCAGGTTTTGGTTGATGACTTTTGGCAGAGCAGTGGTGGAGGGGCTGCAAGTAGCCCCTGGAGCACATCTCGCTCGTCCCTTCCCTGGACACCCCGTCCCCAAGGCTGCTGATTCTGGATGTCATTAGGAGAGAGGGGCCCTGTGGATTTTCTGAGCCAAGCGCCAGAGTGTCTTGGACGGCCTGGCATGATGGGATAAGATACAACAGATGCTTCTGTGTCGCCACCTCACAGCAGGCAACGATTTCCACAACAGTAATGAGTTACCTGAGCCTTCGGGGGTAGAGCACACATAGGTGGGCAGCATCTTCACTGAGGCTTCCTCGTGTGTCTCCAGCTTGAGCCCCCGGTCCATTTCCTTTTGCATCCGACGCATCACCTTCTTCAGATCTTCATCCTGTAGCTGGAACTCTGAGAGGATCTGCTCCACCTATGAGGGACGAAGCAGAAGCAAAGGTCAAAATAAGATGGAGACAGTCTACGCAAATGGTTTCTTTCTTTCCTCTAGTGGCTGTACGTGGCATCTTTATGTTTCTCTTGAACAGTGGAAGATACATTTCTTTACCTTTTTCTATCTGTGCAGATGATATTTTACATCTCGTTAAATGCTGTTTCGCATTCCTCCATGACCAATTTCAGCAACAGCAACTAACCAAACCGAAGAAGTATGTACAGCACTGCCAGGGTACACAAATTATCCACTGGAATTATACTGTATGGTGGATTGGGGCATGCTGGGAGCTGTAGGTCTTTTTCCCCATTTTTCCATATCTGCATGTAAGCTGCAGATGATGTATGCCTGTTCTCACACTTATTTATGCAACAAAGCCATGCTTAGCCTTTAAAAATGCATCTGGACTCACTTGTTCTTGATCAAATTTGAGCTGGTGGGCTGCCTGCTCTTCTGCATACCCTTTCCCTCTGAAATGTTTTGCTAATTTTCTAAGCCCAGCCAAGCCGACAACAGTAAGAATAGGATATGGTTGATTTTCACTGCCCTGTGCTTTCCCTCAAATATACCTCACAGGGCTATGTACATGCCACCATTCACACTAGGATATTCTTCCAACTTTCAACTTAACTTTTAGCTCCAAGTTAAATTTCTGTGAAAATCACACGAAGCTCTGGGCATCCTTATGAGCATGGGCGCTGTAGACGGATCACCACTGGCTTTCATGTTCTATTCATATTGGACATAAAATGCCAAGGTTTGTGTTCATCTTTCAGCTGCTTTGGCGAACATTTAACAGCGATTTCCATACCTACTAACAGCATCGGTGAAGAACCCAAGACCTCATGTACTTTCCACACACAATTCTGATACCTGCAGCTCAGAAATGTACATTTTGCCATCCTACCTCCAGTTCTTCCAAATGTTGGTTCTGTGTGTTTACCCATGGAATACTTCAAAGATCAGTATCTAGATTAGACTTCGTTTTCTATTTTTAGTTGCTGGAACTATCCCAGCTCTGAAAGAGGTATTTCATCAGTTGGTTTGCTGATTAAAACTTGGACAGACTGGAACAAAATATAGCACAAACAATATTTACCCTAGGCTTGGGAATTCCAGTTTTTTGTAGCCAAGAGAACTGGGAAAGAGGTTGGCAGTATGATCAGTTCACTTAGCCTGTGACCTTTCACAGCTTCCAAGATGAAGCAATCTAAAACTTGAATGAGAAGGGATTAGGTGTTTGCAACATAATTCCTATTAGGTATCCTGTTTCCATTGATACAAGAGATGCTTGCTAGCTACATATATTTAAAAATGCTTATTTTGCCCTAAACGAGTTCTGTCTTTCTTTCAGACTGGTGCAAAGGAGTGGACGACATAAGAAGAGCTCCGCTGGATCAGGCCGAACATCCATCCAGTCCTACATTCTGCTTTCCACAGTAGCAAGCCAGCTGTCAATGGAAAACTCACGATTATCAGGGTAAAAGAATGACTGCTCTCTCATGTGGTTTGTCCCCAGTTTGTTGATCTCTAGAGAGGTAGACTGCCCCTGAGTATGTCAGCTCCATTTCGTAATCACAGCTAATCTCCATTTAGTAATCACAGCTAATCTCAATTTAGTAGTCACAGCTAATCTCCATTTAGTAATAGATGTGAATAAACTTATCCTTCATGTATTGATCCATTCTGTATAAAAAGTACTGTCTCAGATCTCTTATAATGGACTTTTAATGCAACAATCTCATATTTTCTCACCATGTCCTTCAACTTTCCCTTTACTAGAAAAGGCTTCTGCATCCAAGAGGAGGCCTTGGTTAAGCCAGGAGATGTGTTCGCGGGAAGGCATATATGCATATGTCTAAGGATGCACACAAAGCCCATTCTGATGCATGCCAGACACATGGGCAGCAGAGGGAATGGGCCCTAGGCAGAGCAGGAGAGCTGGCACACACCCTGTTTAGATCCCATGAGATGCTTTGAGCACGGGGGATCAGCCCATTAGGATCTGGCTACATGATGAAGCCAATTCAGAGTGTGGACAGTACTTCCTGCCTTCACCTTGACTCTTGTGGGTTAAAATATGCATATGAAAAATAGCAGACTGCCTGTTGCTGTTTGAGCCATGAACAGGTGGTGAAAGATGGTGAAAATAGTGAACAGAGATATGGATTATATCATCTGCTTTAGCATCATTCCATTATGCTTTGAAAATCCATTCCACTTGCAAATGGGAAGTATCAGGCCTGTCGCTAATACTTCCTTAAGCGAAGTATCCAGTCTCGGATGGTGACCAGTTCTGAACACTGCAATATATACACAGAGAAGATTTGCCGAGGTATTCATAGGAGAAGAGCACTCTCATTCTTAATTTCTGGTCAGCCACAAGATCACACCGTATCTGGGCAATTGGTTGCCACAGATTCAATGAGGAAAGCAACAGAATGCAAACGAAACTCTCCCCTCTCAGCAAAAAGTCAGGCCCTAAGGACCCTACACTGATGGCACAGGTGTTGTGATTGCACTTATTTGTTGGCAGGTAACACACAACACAATCATTCAGTCCAGATGCCTATCAGTGTGTTCCTAAGATCCCACCAGCCAGACTCTGCATAAACTGGAATTTCCCTCCAGGAACCCCAAGGTACGAGAAGCTACCTGAACACACCTTCACAGCATAGCACGGGGCTTGGGCTTGGGCTTGGGCTGGGGAGTTCCAAGAAAAGTGGGCTGCTGCTCTTACCAGTTTCCATAAGCTCTCAAACAGCTTCTTCATCATGGACAATGCTGAATCCTCCACACTGCCCATTGGTTCAAGGCCTGCTGTAAGGAACAGCCAGGGACCTGCTCGTTGCAGAAGCTCTTGCCCACCTGGACGCAAACTGACACGGCAGACTGAGCAGCTGCCTCCTTTTGCTGCTTGTTTGCTTAAGCTCAAGGCTCGGCATTGCTGATACGGGGGCAACATTTCACCGATTGAAGAAATGGACCCAGTGGTCAGTAGCAACGCTAACAAAATGATGCAAAGGGGAGAATGGCATTCCAAGTGCATCAGCCTTTAGTTCTCTCAGGAATGTGGGGCGGCGTTAGATTGTGTCTCTAAAAGATGCAGAAAGGAACATAGCAGAGCTTTCCAATATGCAAAACAACCTCTGGGTGTTTTCAGTGTAGGGTTCGGGTTAGGGTCAGGGTGTAGTGTGTCTGGGGAGAGCCAGGTTCCAGTCCCCATTCAGCTGTGACGCTCATTGGGCACTGGGGCAGGTACTCGCCCTCTTTCTCCATCTAACGGGCTTCGCAGCATTGTTGTTGTGATGGTAAAAATGGAAGGGGGCAGCCATGCAGCTCACACTGAGTTCCCTAGAGAAAAGAAATTACAGTGTGTGTGTGCGTGTATCACAGTGAATTAAAAGAACAGTGCAGTCCTATGCGTCGCTACCAAGTTTAAGGGAGGTTACTCCCAGGTTACTAGGTATAGTATGGAGTCAAAGCGACACATTGCATTCCCTGAATCAGAAGTAAATCTCAATGTCTTCAAGTCAGTGGTTGCTAGGATTGCAGTCTTAGGGCTTCTTTCTCACTGCAGCAGTAATTCTGCCTTTGGGCTGCTGATTACAGCTTAGATGACAATGCTGCTGTTTTTTTTAAGCCATCCAGGGACTTTTAGTATTGGGATGGCATATAAAGACTTTAAATAAATAAATAAATAAAATATTCTTCTACAGAAAACAAGTGTTCCATGTAGCAAACCAGATATCAAGAAAATTGCTAATACAAGCATCTTCATTGTGTGCTTTTTTCCTATATACAGATAATCTGGGTTTTTTTTTCATTCTTATGAGTGCAATCCTAAGAGGGGAGTGTGCTTCAAGGCATTTGCTCCACTTCGAATGACATGGTATTGATGATGCAATAACATGTAAGACATTCGGGCATTTTAAGACAGAAGCTAGACCTCAGAGGACCAGCCTTGTCAGCTTCTAAAGAAGTATTTACTTTTGTGTGTTTGGATTTTGTGGGATGATTATTTGTTTTGCCGATGTGCATCATTTGTTTAAGCAGATTCAGATACAGTTGTGCAAGCTAGAAAGGCTTTCCCATTGGACAGCATCTGAGTGAGGACGTGATGAGAAGGAGCTTCAAATTCCCCTGTACACCACAGAGATCATGATGCAGAACTTCATTTTGGAGCAGCTCTTGGGAGTTTCATTTCCAGGGCAGAAGCATAGGAAATGAGGACCAAAATGCAAAAATATTGCATCTTGTAGCTAAAGCTCTTCCCTTTGTAACTAAGAGCTGTTCTGCATGAAGCTGTTAACCCAGAAGTTTCTGCTTCTGGATTTTTGGTGGGATTAAGATCAGCTGCTTTACACATCCCCCCCTCACCAAGGCATCTCTTCCACTGCTGTTCTAAATCACACTACCCCTAGGCGGTGATGTTGTATGGAGGAATTGGACAAATACATGAGGGTTTCACATCACAATTCACTGATAATACCAGACTCCCCTCAATCTTAAAAAAACAATAGATATGGTTGCAAAGAACCGCTGGAACCCTAGAAGATGTCAACATCATGGAAACTATCATGAATGTGGAGTGATGAGCACACAATACATGTCTCCAACCCTTAGGAGATGCATTTCAACCTTTTAGAATGCAGAACAATTGCAGAAGAAAGTGGAAACTGCTAAATGATTAGTGGTCAGGGAAAGATGGACATGACCATCTGGGCAATTAAAAGCAACTGAGTTATGATCAACTTAGGTCCTATTGATCTAACAGGTCTGCTTTAAGCGTCACGAAGACAGAACCCAACCCACTCTACGGTGCCCCTTGCTAAATCAGCTTGCAGTCTCAGTAATGCAGATGATGCAGTGAAGATAAGGGAAAAGAGAAGAGCTATTTGTAACCCTGACATACTAGATTTCTCTGTGAAGCGATTACCAACATCACCCATGGGAAGTGTCCAACCATCTGAGCTCCCATCAGCAATCCAAAGTGAACAGTTTATCATCTCACCTGAGGATGAGGCCTTGGAGTTAAATATTCACCTGGATGCTGCACTGAAGCATTCACTTGAGGAAACAGAGTCCTCCAAAATCACACATGTTGCACAAATAGGTAAGAATTGAACTCTGAGCCTGCCAAGCTTGAAAATTATTTTAACTTATATTTAAAATTGTCAATCAACCCCCTCTTCATCCTCTGCCGCATCACTGTTCCTAACCCTGTCCAAATTTAGTTCATGTTAGCATTTGGCAATCTATATAATTCTAGTCACTGAAACTAAACAAGGCTTGGCTTTGCACTTGGAAAAGGAAATGGGACACAGGGGCCAAAGAAGATAACTTATAGGAAGAAAATGGATGCATTCAAAACATGGTGCTGGAGGAGACATTGCGAATACCCTGGATGACCGAAAGGCAAATGAGCAGGTCCTAGATCGAATCAAGGCAAGGCATTCCCTAGAAGCAAAAATGGCAAGCGAGGCTGCCCTACTTTGGGCACATTGTGAGAAGACAAAACTCCGTGGGAGAGACAAATCACAGTAGGGAAAGCTGGAAGCAAGAAACAAACGGGAAGACCACATGCGAGATGGATTGACTCCATACAGGAAGGCACATTTGAATCTAGAACATTTAAGCAGGGGTGCCATGGTTAAGAGATTTTGGAGGGCTTTCGTTTATTGGGTCAGCAAAAGTCAGCTGACTTGGTGGCACATAACAACAACAAATATTACTATTTATACATGTGAAGTTTCTATATTATTAGTTTATTATATGGCTTTTTGCGTGGTGTACTTTTATGGCTGTGGTACTTCTGACACCAATAAGGAAAGGCACTGTGCTGCTTCACCAGTGCAATATTTTGATTCAAACATCTCCTTTTCTGCTCTGTAATCCCAATCAATTAGGCATCACATGCTGAATGCAGTAACATTATGGCTATCTTAAGTTTATGGTAGCTGGATATATCACAGTGTGGAGAAAGTGGAGAGGGAGACATTTTTCTCCTTCTCCCATAACAGTTAAACCCAGGGTCATCCCATAAAGCTGATTGGTGGGAGGTTTAGGACAGATAAAAGGAAGTACTTCACACAACATATAAACCATGGAATTCACTGCCATGGGAAGTGGCGATGGCCGCCGATCTGGACGGTTTTAAAAAGGGATTGGGCAGGGCCGGGAGACTATCTGTGGCTACTAGCCTTGCAGGCTATGTGCTTTACCAGAGGTGGCACACCTGGACCCACCAGGTGCAGAGGCACTTGGGCTGGAGGAGGCCTTGCGCCCATCCTGCCGGAGGGATCCTGTGGGCAGCGGTTTTGCCACTGTGTATATGGATTGCTGGACTAGATGGATGTGGGTCTGATCCAGCATGGCCTTTCTTACGTTCTTATACTTACAGATAGCAAGCTGAGATTCTCTGTGACACTGGACACCTAGGCTAACACCCCATAACCCATAGCAGCTGTTCCTCGAGACAAACACACTCTTGAATGCTCAGATTAACATGGTTCTCTTAAGCGAATCCACCAACCCTGGATTGGTGGACATTAATGTTTAATGTCGACCAACCCTGTCCTAAGCCCTGGGGCGGGCAGCTCCAGACGCTGTCTCTGGGTCGCACGGCCGTGTGGGAGAGATGCCTGCCAGGCAGGAGCCTATATGTGCTAATGGGTTTTAACTCGGTCAATTTCATTCTAGCTATTTACAGAGGCCCAGCTGTGTGAGATCATCACCACTTTTAATGCTGCAGTTTTCTGCCAGTGAACAGATGAGAATATGTTATGACATCAAGCATGGACATGAATTGCCACATCAAATTAGTCCACAGGATTATCTAGCTCAGAATCTTGATACTAGCTAATGGGAAAGGTTTCCAGCAAAAACAGACAGATGTATTGAATATGGCAGGGATTTGGTAAAATGCTCGCTCAGTAGGGTAGAATCAGTGGGGTGATTCTCCAGCCAAGCCGTTTCCATATCCCCTCCTGGTTGGGGAATGGCCATAATGGCCAGGGTGACAGAAGCAAAAGGGGACAGAGTCCTTCACCTTAAATAGTTGTGTCAAAGAGGGGATTGTAGCAGGTGTCATGTAGTCTGCTGGAATTTCAGCAAACCATCAACTTCAGTTCTTCCGTTTTAGTTTTCTGGGGGCCAGAGATGTGGAGGAGGGCCAATTACCCCACCCTTCAGACCTCTGGACTTTCCCATCCCTGAACTAGGAAACTGATGTTTTGTATACATATAGTTCAGCCACCCCCAAGTTGTGATGGGAGTTGTAGTCCAACACATTTGGAAGGCAATAGGTTGGGAAGCCTGGTTGTTCCCCAGGACACACCAACTGCTAGAAAAATCTAACGATAAAGATTTAAATGTAGTGTCATTTTTTAAAAATCTGCCCCTTGAGGTACGTTCCAAGATAAGGTAACAGAGGAAGTGTTTCTTCAGATTTTAAGAAAGAGCTAGGTTGTTCCCGGTAACATAAAGTTGGAAATGGAGAGTGAGGGAGGGAAGTGCCCCATTAGATTATCCTGGAGAATCAACTGCCTTTAAGACAAATACTTTGGAAGGCCCTGTATAGGTTCTATACCTGCCTGGCTACCAAGCAGATATGCAGGGTCAATTTGAGCAAAGTTGCTGGCTCTTAGGAAATCTATTTACACTGAGACTGCAGATGCTCTGCGGCAGCCTCCATTAATGCTCGTTGTAACATGCTGCATTTGACAGGGCCAGCCCAAGAGATTTTGCTGTCTCAGGCGGAGGACAAGGTGGTTGTCCCTTCCATTCCATGCACAAAAGCCAACT